AATGATTTGATGATAATTACTGATGCATTAATGTGTTCTTCTCTTCAATGTTGGTAAAGTTTGGGGTTCATTTATATGCTGCTGGCTCGCTTGGCCCGTCATAAAACATCATGATTTATTTTGTTTAGTAACTAACGCTGCAAAATGTAATGCCGTGAAAAGTACAATATTGCTTCCTGTTTGTAGTGCAGTACAATTATAAAGTAACCTGAAATGGAAGTAAAGTGCATTACTTGAGTAAATATAGTTAGTTACTTTACACTGTTTGAAACTGGACTGTTATCTTGAAGAAAAAAACACTAACTTGTAATCTTAATTGAGGATGCAGTTTAGTTTTATGGGAACATATTTTCTCAGTAAGAGGCATTATTGCTACTTTATGTTATCATTAATTGTTTGTTGAAATCATAGTGAGTGAAAGAGACAATGATTCTTTCTCCAAAACCAGCTGTTGGCACAAAATAAATCCGGCAGCGTGTGAACACATCAGGCAGACACTTTCTCTCTCTGCCGGCTGCTGATTTGTCCCTTTTGACTCCCAGCAACCACAGATCCATTTTAGTGTAAACGAGCTGTCCGGAGGCAGGAGACGCTCCACACAAAAGCAGAAAGGTCGCTGAATTGTGGGGTGAGCTCATGTTGAATGAAGCAGAGATGTTCTTTGTTGGGCTGAAAAATCTGTCCCTGGGAAACTCTCAGTCTGTCATGATCAGGCCAGAAAAGCTGCTCCACTCTTTGTGTTTAGAATAGCTGCAGAGAGCTTCCTCTCCAGGATCATGTTACCCTGCTGTTGGCTCCGTTTAAAAATGTGATCATGTCGGACATAATCACACAGCACAATGAGGTGAAGAGCAGCTCCAGTTTTGTGTCACTGTCAGAGTTTGTTCACAATTTATTTTCCATGAACAATTCTTTCTTTTTGTTTGAATGCCATGAACTTGCCAGGGACTGCAGATGAAAATGTGCCTCTATGGATACATCTGGCACAATTAAATAATAGATTTTCAGTAAGTGCTCATGTTAATTAATGTGTATTGTCCCTTCCTAAATAAATAAATACAAACTGCCGGAGCCCATACTCTGTTCCTGTGAGTCTTTACTTCCTGTCAGTCTTTTACTGCTGTTCCCGCTATTGTTTACTTCCTGTTTGTCTCCGTCTGCTGTTCCCATGAGTGTTCAACTCCTGTCTGTCTTCTTATTTAGTTCTCTCTATTGTGTCTTCTTGATATATTCATATGAAAGGTGCTATATAAATAAACTTGCTTTGCCAGACCACCACACAATATTTCAATAAATATATAATAAGAAACATGTCTCATGACCTTCTGCACTACCCCACATTTCTAAAGCTGACTTATAGCCCCCTGGTGGTGCAGTTGGTAGCAGGGAGGTGATGGTCTACAGTTGCACTTTCATTTATTATTATTTATTAAAAGATTGCACTAATGCACTGGGGTCTGTGAAACAGGAGCTTGGTCAACCTTTTCCCCTCATAATCACACTGTGTGTCCACATCTCTTCAGCACATGCAACAGTTCAGAGGCAGAAATAAAAAGCTCTCTGTTGTACAAAGACTGACCCCTGGCAGATAAACAAAGCTCTTCATTATGCAGAAAGAAGCTGATGAACAGAGGCGTGTAAATGTTAAGTGAACAGCATGTGTGTTGCATATAAATGCTGTCCACTCGTAGCTTCTTCTTGTCCTAATTTTAAAGTTTAATTCAGGGCGCAGTGGGAGATGACTGGCAATAATTGTGCTGCATGATAATAACTCCTCAAGGTTGTTTCCATGTGTCCCTTTTCTATCCTTTTACAGGATGTGGATTGGAACAAAATAAAAGAGAAAGTGATGCAAGTGAATGTAATAAGATGCAGTAAAGAGCAAATGCTCTTTATATTGATGCTTAGTATACTTAAAGTACTTGCAAAATGACACAAAATGACACAATAAAGCTGAAATCCAGTGAAGCAGCTAAGTGGTAGCAATTCATAAAATAACAAATAGAGAAGCAGCTGAATGAGAGCATGAGGGAGGCTGTTTAAAATGGAGAATCAAAAAGGGAAAGACCTCGATGAACTCGCACGGCGGCGCAGAGATACGAGTCAACAAATGGGAGTTTGTGACAGCGCTGTCCTGAGCTGCAGGCCAAAGGAGGAGAGGTTACACAAAGGGCACGCCGCTGTCTACGGTCTCAACAATCATCCTTAACATCATACCTGCACAGGGCACACACACTTCAGACACACACATCAGAGGGAAACGTAGCATTTAGAGGAGGAGGGGAAATAAGGACAGGCAGAGTCTCTCTCCTTAATGGACGTCTCATTTGTCCTTCTCTACCAAGTTCCTCCCATATGAAAGGGGCAAATTAACCATGATTAGGGCTTAAACAATTAATAAATAAAGAGATGAGGAAGGGGGGTTATAGTTTGGGAATATACAAGAAAAATCTAACAATTACTTTACTGTAATCTCAGAGAATATTCAAATGTTTATCTTGTAAATACTTCTCAAAGAATTACTGAGATTTTGAGGAGAAACCAGAACAAATTCCTAACATTTTATGACTACAATTTCCTAATTTGATGTCTCATTTGTCCTTCCAACACATTTGACAAAATAATTGTATACATTATTGTGAGTTTTCTTAACAGAGCCAGAATATCATTTTTCTATATCATTTTGAAAACGTTCTAAATTCCATTTTTAAAAACTCGTAAAAGTCATTTTCAGATTCATTTAATGTGATGCCATTCTAAAACAAAAAATACAATAACTAAAATAGCTTCAGGCAATGTTGCTTTAGAGCAATTTAAAAGTGCATGTGTGCAATAAAGCCAGTAAATTGGATTTAATTACACCATTATAGTCTAGTGTCACATGTAGATGTGTAAATTAAGTGTGTGTAGGAAGCGTTAATAATGCTCCCGATGTTCAGAGAGATAAAAGTTCCTCTTTATGAATCTGTAAAAACTGCTGGTGGATAAACCATCAGCACACAGTTCATGTTTCTTTCAAAATAAAGGTCACTACTGTCATTGTTGATTGACTTTATGAATGGGTATGTTACAAACAAGTGAAAGTAGTAGTTTAGTTACATGACACTAAAAGCAGCCTGGATCGTCCACGTTAATCCCTCATGAATGCACTAATGTTTCAGGTACTTTGCACCTTTCAAATGCTCTTAAAACTAAAGCCTTACAATCCATTGAGAGATTTAAAGCTTAATAATCTGAGGTTTTATTAAGAGTTTTGTTTGTTTTATTCCTTGTTTTTTGTGTCGTTGTGTTCGTGTTCTCATGTCTCGCAGGGAAAGACAATTTAATCTCAATGAGACTGCTGATTCAATAAAGCTTAAATAAATAAACATGAGGAAATACAAAAAGTCTATGCTGGATTCTCTCCCACACAGCCCCCCCCCCCCCCCCGTCCTGAAACGCCTCCATTGGACTCCTTTATTTACTTCCGGATATTAGTGACATCACTATGTAACACTCATTCTTCTTTTGGCAAGCGCTCCTACACGTTGGTGATAAGCTAAGGGGAGGGACATCTCTAAGCGGTTGACCGATTACAACAGAGCCAGCCAACTGACCAATCAGGCTTCCAGAGAAACTGGGCTCTGGTTTCAGACAGAGGGTGAAAAGAGAGGCTGCAGCACAGGCAGTATGAGAAAAATAAAGAGCTTTTTGAACATTAAAGCATGGAAACACAGTAGAGAGATCAAATACTAAAATCAGCATCACCATGTGCAACCTGCAGGCCCAATCAGCAGAGAGCATTACTCTGTATGAAATGAAAATGAGTTTAACATTATTTCCTCTGTTCTGCAGCCATGAATCCCCCGCTTCTCTCCTCTCTTCAACCTGGGTTTAACTTCCACAAACTAATTCCCAGCCACCACCAGACTCCAGGAGCTTTAGGTGGGGTTAGGAGAGAGACATTCAAATTAAAACCTCTCAAAATGCAGGCCCATGGCACAAAGCCTGAGTAAACACAGAGAGCCGTCTCTAATAAAGGACGTCGCCCTCTATTCCCTCTCCAGCTTAGATTCCTCATCATCATCGCACGGAGACAGCAGTGCAAACCATTTAGCTCCAAATGAGCTTCTTTCTCCTTCCTTTTTCTGTGAATGCTGATTGGTGGAGTCAGGGGAGGGTACAGGGTTGTTGTTGGGGGTCTCTAACAGGCCCATCGATTCGGCCTGGAGGATCACTGCAGGTCACACACACCCCGCTGCATGTGGACGTGTATATATATTGTTAAAGTAATGGCCTATAAAAGAAGGGGTATTGACTTCAAGCCTCCGCGGAGTCGTAATGTGAGGAAAAGGTGAAAGTCTCTATTAAAAGGTGCTACAAGGTGAAAGGTTTCCATATACCAGACACAATATGGATATATTTTTGCATCTGCAAATTCAGGGGATTTAATTCACGCTGGACTTGAATGTGTGCATGCTGGTACACAAAGGGAGGCAGCACAAAAGGCGCATTTACATTCTGCAGGGCGCCGCAGATTCCCTGGTAGTAAGTACCTTTACATTTTCAAATCAAAATGATGCTGACTGCGACTTTCACGCTGCACGCCAGAAGCCTCCATGATAAGCATTTTTTATTGTACTGTTGTGTCATTGATTTATTTTTTTAACACTGCAGTTTATCCCACTGTGACACACAAACACGGAGGACAGCAGACCTCACACACACACACTCTGTGACCTTCAGATGACACACTGCAGGTGAAAATATGTTTTTTGTGCACAGGACAATTTTAGTTTGATATATTTTCGTTTGTCCCACAAAACATTTTCTTAGAGACTAGTTGAAAGACAATACAAGTTTTTAATGTTTGCCTTGAATGTTCACCTAAAGTTAGCAATACATAATGCCCTATGCATATTAAAGCATGTATTTTCTATGTATTCGTTTTTTATTGTATCTTTTCACCTGGACCGTGTCCCCTTAAAGTCCCATAATAGTGCCTGCAGAGTAAGACTGACCTGAGGGGGGGGCAGTCCTCCTGCTCCGGGGGAGCAGTCAGGTAACATGATGGTGCGTTTAGGTGTGCTGCACTGGCAGGAGGGGGAGGGGTTGGCCATGCTCCAGTTCCCCTGCAGGAAGATGTCGGTGATGGACGGATCCACCGGGGGAGTGAACCAATCAGAGCCAGCCGAGGAACACGGGAGCTTCCTGAGAGGAAACAAGGGGGGATGACGAGAGTTTATCATTAATTATACGCAATATGATCTCTTATCATCACCATAAGTACAACTGATGTGTAGCATGGACCTTCTCAGTTCTCTTAATCCAAGTTGATGTCTTTATTTTTGTTAGAAACCCAAAGATATTCACTTTAAACTGTTAAATCTAAATAGATATTGAACTATTAATCTGATATCAAAGAGTTTGAAATTATTTTTCTGTTCATGCACAAATCAATACGTTGTTGAATCATGGCAGCTCTATTATATTCACTGTTCTTTGAGTTACAATATATATACTTTTGAAAGACTGCCATGACTAATCTGATGCATATTTTCAAGACTAATTGATTAATGGTTTGCACCATAACATTCAGAACATTTTGAAATGTGAAGTCTGTCATGTTCAAAGGTGTCTTTAAATATGTCGTTTTGTCAGTCTGAAACCAAAAGATATTCACTTTAATATGATAAATAAAATTTTCTGAATATGGATGAAAAATTGACTTTTTAATTTTCCAAATAGTTCAACTGATTGGTGAGTAACCTCGAAGCTCAATAGAATTCACTGTACATTCATTAAATAAACATGAGTTAACCAAATGTACTTCTGAAGATGGTTGAATAATGACTGGTGTCTGAATTAAATCGTGGTGTTTGAAGTGGTGTAAGCTCTTGTGAACTACAATTGCTCCAAGCTCACCAATAATTCCTTTTCATTCAGTTTGAAAAGAAATTCATCCTTCAAATTATTCTGACGAGGATCATACAGAGAGCGTGTGAATCACTTATTAATCACATCAATCAATGTATTTTCATAATCATACACAGTGCTCCTTTTGTATTGCATTGGGCATCATGCTTACAGCCTGTTCTATTCGTGCAGCAGCATTTTCGGCTCGGACTCCATGTTTGCAGACATGTTACAACTGTATGAGCACCATGAGGAATGCACGTGCACACTAACACAAATCTTATGGCTTCTTGTGAGTAAAAACGTACGGTATTGGGTCTCCAGTCATGCAGCGAGTGCCAAAGCCAGGATTGTTCACCAGCGTCTCCACCACCTTAGACACCTCTGCATTACCCGGACCATCATTGCTGCAAAAGAATAAGAAATAAATAAGTAAAATAAACACAAAAAACACATTCAGCAGGCTCTAAGACCAAAAACAAATTCCTCTTTTAGTGGAGCCATGATAACTACTAGAAACTGGAACCAGAAAAACACGAAGCAACAGGCTAAAATATGGGGTAACACTCGGAATTGCTTGTCAAATAGTCTAAAAACATAGATTTGTATGTGTTACTTAAATCATGTTTTCATGTAAGGCGATGTCTCTTGGCTTTTGCATTGTATTTTTGTTATGCACAAAGACAACGTCCTTGTACAGTGAGTGCATAACTACTTTCTGATTCAGTTTTGTAGCATTGATTTGAGCAAAGGCAGCCTGATTTATAAAAAGAAATAACCTTCTATACATCCACGTCTTATTGTGATGAGAAGTGATCGTCTACCATCTATAATTCATCGGATGATAGACAACCATCGATGAGTCAACTCTAAGTCGATTTAAAGAATGACCTTGATGAAATCTAGAAGCCTGCTATCTGTAAGGTGGTGTCAAAAAGAAGCTGAGTGTACAGAACGGTGGAGCAGGATAACTGACAGGAGGGATTATTAGAGATTAAAGGCCTGGAAATATTGAACCAGGAGAATCATTTTATTTAAAAGAGACAGTTCACCTTAAAATGTATGACTGTGTACAACAGTATCCTGTCAATACCTTTGGAAGAGAAAACCTTATTGACGATTGAGTCAGGAAAACCGTCTACCTCATTGAAAAGGACATTTACCTTAAATACAGCTTGTTATATTCGTGACTATATAGAAAGATTGTTTTAGTTTTTCTTGCAATTAAACACAAAGTTGTTGGCTCTTGTCTCCAGTCTTTTTCTTGAGATGTCCAAAAATTATCTTTAGGGTACCAAACAAGAAGAAGGCAAGAGGAAATCTCATGTGGTGCATTTCCAGGAAACACTCGATAGCATTAGGGTCGAGATTAATAAAAAGTGAGGAAGAAAATAAAAAATCGATGAATGGGGAAACAAACCTTTTGCATCATACCATCAACAGATTGGGAACTAATGTGCCAAAACATTCATACCACAACCAACTCCAACTACTGGAAAGATAAACATGGGGGATTCAAATTCGCTATTTTAAGACGCACCAAGTCCCTAGTTAATAGAACAAAAAAATCTACTTCAGAGATGGCTGTGGCTCAGTGAGTAGTGTGCTGGACTTCGAATCAGGGGATAGCAAGTTCGAGTCCCACTGCAGTCAGCATGTCGTTGTGTCCCTGGGCAAGACACTTCACCCCAAATTGCTCCTGTGGGGATTGTCCACGGTACTGAATGTATGTTAGTCGCTTTGGATAAAAGCGTCTAACAATTGACATGTAATGTAATGAATACAAGGAGCTTCCATTGGACACAGAAACGCCTCCATTGGAATCTTTTGTTTACTTCTGGAAGATAGTGGCATCACTATGTTACACTCGCTTTTCTATTTGCTAGCACTCCGACAGATTGTATGTGATAGACTAAGGGGCGGGACATCTCTAATGGGTTGACCAATCACAACAGAGCCAGCCAGCTAACCAATCAGAGCAGACTGAGCTCTGGTTTTAGACAGAGGGTGAAAAGAGGTGCAGTAGCACAGGCAATAGAGAACCGCAGTGACGCGTCCTAAAACCCGGAAGTAAACTTCTTCCGGTTCCTTCGTCAAAAACGCAATGCAATTTCTCCATAGGCTTTTGGAAAATAGCTCAAAATAAGGTCTGTGGTTGAGACACATTTAAGAGACGGATCACGTTTTGTTCAGCCGGATAATATCCACATGTCTACCCTACTTTTATAATTTTCGAATCATAAATCTAGTCGCCAGAAGCAAAATGCTAACGTTATGCTATAAACGAACTACAGCAGGGTCGCTGCTTCAACGTCACGCCAACTTAAGATCCATATTCAAACATACAGATTCTAAATGGTACAAGTTGAAGATTTTGTTTGAACAGTTTGCAAGAGGCAGGTACTTGCTTTCAAGCAGAACAGGGCAAACAAACTTAGCGGGAGTGTTTTACGTGTTCGGTGTAATGACGTAAAACGGCCTGGACAACTTCTGTAGTCCTATTCAGCCACATGTTAACAACCATCTATTTCAGACACGTAAACTCTTAAAAAATCACCGGCGGGGTCACTGCTAATGTATTCAATGTCGTAGAACAAAACGTGATCTGTCTCTTCAATTTGTGTCAAACACAGACCTTATTTCCAGCTATTTTCCAAAATCCTATGGAGAAATTGCATTGCTTTTTGTCGAAGGAACCGGACGTGGTAAAATGCTAACTTACTTCCGGGTTTTAGGACGCGTCACTGCGGTTCTCTATATGAGAAAAATAAAGAGCATGAACACATGTCACAGTAGAGGCGCAAAATACTTATATGAACCGGAAAATGAGCAAAATAAGGCCCCTTTAGTCATTTTTTCCCTCTTTCCTTTTCTGATTATTGGATTGTAATTTAGTTATCTAATGTATTTATTCTGTTATCATCATAAGGAAGGCTAGCTCTGTCGTTGGAGTAAAACTGGACAATCTGGAGGTTTCGAAGGGGGAGGTATGAGGAGGAAGCTGGACTGTATTCTAGAGAACCCCTCCCAACCCCTCCATGTAGAGCTTGAGACGATGAGGAGCTCGTTCAGCGACAGACTCATCCCTCCTCGGCACACCACAAAGCGCCTCGGACATACATTTGGTAGAAATCATTGAATTGAAATCCCTGAAATAACAAAGCTAGTGCTACAAACTTGTTCTGCTAACTTTGAGTCATATATCCCTAATATGAGCTGCTCAGGATTCTGTGTACAGCCTTTCATTATCCGAGTGTCTCCTTTGAACAATCTCCCTATTCCAATTTCATTCTCATTACTAAGCACACACACTCTGCCCTTTATCTTAAGGGTGCCAGGGGAGTTAAAACACAGCGTTTCATAAAGAGCGAGCCGATGGCTTCCTGCCAGCGGTGGCCACAGCCCGCAGACCGTTAGGATTAATACAGTGTTCATTGTCTCGTTTAGAGTGCCTGCATGAAGGTCACACGGAGCCAGATTCAAGTGGTCGGATAGTAAAAATGGATTATGTGCAGCCATCTGTTTTACAATTAAGACTGGCTGGGTTAGCACGATATTCCAGATCGTAAAACTACTGGACAGTCGCAAAATGAAGACTTGTGCATACACACAGAAACAGTGGAACTAATGAATGGTTCATCTAGTCCAAATGACAAATCGCAGAACGATGTGAGGAGAAAGTCAAATGAAGGCTGCATTATATGACAGGAATAGGCCCTCTGGTGATAAAACAGTGTTCCTGGGTGTAAGCTTTACTGTCTTTATTCTAAAAAAAACCCTACAACTTAAATTAAACCAAGAGGAAACCACTTTTAATCACACCGTCACTCTGGAGAAAAGACAATATTTAGTTATTGGCCAGAGGGAGTGTCGTTAACATTAAGAACACTCCAGTTTTAAAAGGTAAACCATAAGAACCCTTCACAGGAAGTCCCAGGAAAACTCAGCGTGCACTTCAAGCTGTTCAACAGAGAGTCTGTGACACTGGGAAGTGAATACCGTCAATGAAGCACTACTCTTAAAACACATTTTATTCCCACTACTCTTAAACTGCATTGTGTTGACATAAAGAAGAGATATGTTCCAGTCACCTTCTTTAAAGGGGCCCTATTCTGCCAATTGTTTTGGTTTATTTTAGTATTTAGTAGGGTTGGGTACCAAAAACCGTCCAAAATAGTACCCAACCCTAGTATTTAGTGCCTCGACTGTGACATTTGACATGCTTTAATGTTCGCAAAGGTATTTTTCTCATACTGCCTGTGCTGCAGCACCTCTTTTCACCCTCTGTCTGAAACCAGAGCCCAGTCTGCTCTGATTGGTTAGCTGGCCGGCTCTGCTGTGATTTTTAAACTGATTATAGGCCACGTAAATCACGTACAATGTGTTGGAGGTCACTATGTTACAGAAGTAAACAAAGGTGTCCAATGGAGGCGGGGGGGGGAGTGTGTGGGAGAGAAACTAACTAGTGTGTAATAACACACTTCAGGAAAGGGGAAACCACAAGAAGCAGAATAGGGCCCTTCACTAATATCTGTGAAGTGGAAACAGTAACAGAGTCAGAATGATGTTTCAGCACCACGGAGAGAGAGACACAGACATGATTTAAATGTTCCGGATACTTGGCTCAAGTAAAAATCAGTTAGAAAAGTACTGAAACATTTCGACAACGCAATTAAGTTTCAAGTGTAGTCACTCGTTTCAATATTCAAGCTTTACTTCAAAAGCTTTATTAAGCTTCTGTGAATGGATCAGTTTTAAAGGTGTCTTTAATGAGCTACATGTTGGTATACCCACTTCTTGAGTGTTCATTAAAAGCGCTGCACTTCATACGGTTAGATCCTTTGAAATAGCCATTTGCATTGTGCTGTATTTTTGTTATGCATCCTCTGCAATAACTAGAGTATTCTACAGACTATAGACTGATGAGCTCACAAGGAGCATCACTCATTTTTGTAAACATTGTTTTCATCAAAGCCTAAAGGAATAACTCGCCCTCAGGAATAATAATTTCTATGGTGACAAAACCTTTTTTTTAATAGACTGCAGGCTTGCGGAGAAGCGCCTCTCTTCCTTTGGTGTAAAGTTGTTATGTTCCAAAGTGTATTAAAAAATATGTGAAAAGTCATGAGTTTGTGATCCAAGTGAGACTTGGATTATTGTGCACAAGACGTGTGAGAGTTTGTAAATGGATGTTTTCATAGAGTTGCTGAAAAATAAATGATAATTTTGGTAGTGAAGAACTCCTTGATGTTCCTGCCTTTGATAACTATCATTATAAGATGTATAGCATTGTTCAGACATGTCTTTATCGATAGTTTTTGCAAGTTTACAACGTGAAGAATTGCCATAAAAATGTATTGTGAGGTGTTTACCTGTAAAAAGTGGTTTGAGGCAGCCCGTACATCCAGGGCTGCAGCTCCAGACTGGGGTACTCCGTGAAGGGGGGCATGATGAGCGAGAAGATCAGAGACAGACACACAAAGGCTGCAGGTAACACCACCTGCCGAGGGAGGACAGAGAGCACGGAAATCTTTTGTCAAATTGGGAGAAATGTCAGTTAAATCATGAGAGTTGATATCAATGCTGTAAAAAAAGTATTTAAAAAATAACATTTGACTGAAGCACAACATGTGTACATGTGAGAATACTTTTATTAACCCTTCTTTACTTGAATTACATGCTACAAATTAACTGATACAACCAACAATAACGTGCACCCATTAATACACCAACTGCAGAGGAAGGACAGATGTTACCCTGCTGCATGTGCACATAATTTAAAACGTATTAAAATCAGGAGAGATTTCATTCAAAATCATGCGCACTTTGCAGGGAATTAATTGCCAAACAGGTTGATTTAACAAAACAAAACAGTAACAGCAATATGTAACAGACATACTTGACTGAACAACTTAAAATGTCTTTACTTTCATCAACCAACTGTCAATACATGCTACACAATGACTGATGCAGTCAACAATAGAGTGCACCCATTAATATGCTCCTCACTGACTTGTTTGGAGTTTGATTAAACACTCGCACCATCATCTGGCCCCTCATGTGTAATTACTTCCTCACCATTCTCTTGTCTTTTGTGGTATTATTATTATAAACCAGACGGCAGACGAATCTTCTTTTCTCCGTCGTGTAATTCTCTTTGTAATTCATTGTTAGAGCTGACAAAAAGGTCAGCAGGGAAAAATGCAAGCTATCTTTAATGTGTAATCACTTGCAGGCTGGCGGCAGGGGGAGGTTTGCGTACTCTTGATTAATTGCAGGCCGTGCAATTTGCCAGGCCAATTCAAGATGCTACAATTGAAAGTCCTAAATGTACTGCATGTGGAAAAGTGCTTGGAGGAGAAGGAGAAAGATAAAGAGCAGCAATGAGAGTGGAAAGCTTAATGGCGGAAGAGAAGAAAGAGTGTTTCTCTCTCTGCAGTAATTGCAGGTGACAGCTGCTACTTCTCCCATTGAGAGAGACCTGCACAAAGTCATTACGCTCACAAAGCCCAGGCACTGCCATGCACAATGCATGAGTCTCAAGTTAAGAGGGGATTTACAACAGGATTACATGCAAACTGGGTATAAACAGAAAAACACAATCAAGAAGTGCTTATTCATCTTCAACTCAAAAACCTCATTACATTGAGTTTGTTTCCCCAACAATCACTCATGTCCATCCTGTTTTATTTCTCCATTTACTGCATTAAAGTGGATAATAACACCGTATTTCACTGATGTGATAATATGGTCTTCTCTCATGTATAACTAGACTAGTTACAGTGAGTAACAGTGTGCCACCTGCTAGCTAAGATAGACTAATGCCTGGAGTGTAACCACCTATAGCTAGAAGGTGTGTATGCGTGCACAATATCATCAGTCAGAGTGTTAAGAATGTTCATTTAAACTTTATGCTTAATGCAGGTGTAAGAATGTAATGTTTATGCACGCCTGGAAGTCCCTTTTGGTTCAACAGTATAACATGTTTTATAGATTAATTCACAGCAATAATACAGAAACCTAAGTATAACAAATGAGCATTTCAGGAACCATGCTGTTGCTAAAATTAGATTTTAAAACAAAACATATTCTGAATTCCTCAACATGAATGATAAACTGCAGCTGGAAGGAGTTTAGCGCTGCTCTTTCCTCACTCTGACGCTGCCAACACTTTCCCGTCCCCAACTTTCCTCCCCATAAATCACCGCTTTTGTGTCCCACGCCATAATCTCTTTGTATATTCCCCTAACTGCTTGTATTGGAGTAGAATACCTCACCACACAATCATATCTGCTGACAATGGGGGCTGTTGACATGATGGGAGGAAGAAAAGCTTTAGCCAGATGAATAAAGAGGGAGAGGTGGGACAATGTGCACCTTTGTACATGCACACACACATTTTAAAGAGGGATGTGCAGGACTGACAGTGACTAATGGGGATTGGTGCCGCAGCAAATTACAGGAAGAACCTGATCGCCCCGCAAAGGTGAAACAAGTCCTCTCTCTCTCTGAGCTGCACCTTTAATAATTTCAACCTCTCATAACTAATGTTATTCCCTCTGAATCCAGATGTGTCAATACAATTTACGTCACTTTTTAGAAAAACAGTCCTTGGAAAGTGGCCGCTAACGAAATTGCTTTTGACTCGTTTAAATTACACATGTTTATTAGTTTTGACTTTTGAAATTATGTTTATGAGGAACAAAATAATATAGACATGGTCTTAATGGGCCAAAATGAGTCTGTCATCCTTGTAATTGTTATGCCATCACATTTAATACACGGCTAACGAAAACACATGATGAGTGAGCTGTGAAATGAAGGAAAAACAAATCACGGGTGTCACTTAGTCTTTGTGGAGACATCGACAGCCATCAGGTGAGAGTGAAGACGTAAACACACCGACTTACATTTCTACACACTAATGTATTCATTCTCATACAAAGCAAAACTCTGTCAAAAGGGGAAAACATCCTGCTCTGGCCACAGGTATACCCATTTGTATTGGGAGATTCATAAAAAGGAAGAGGAAATGGAACGGTACTATTTTCTGAAAGGAAATGTAACCAATCTTTTTACAGTATCACAAGTTAGTTTGTGCTAAAATACAAAAGGTGAGAGTTCATGCCTGACCCCAGGTATACACACTGTCGGCTCATAGAGACATGATTTATACGGAGGAAAAGGACATTTGTATCTCTTCTGTGTTTATGAAGTAAGAACAGCACCATTTTTCCAAAGCAGCTTTACTCGTAAATATATTCACAGTTACTCTGCCACACAAGCCACAAGTTTATGTTGAATTGCAAAGGTGAGAGCTTATGAATCCTGCACTGACCCCAGGTATACACACTTTCCAGCCGATAAAGAGAGATTTATACGGAGAAAGAGGAAAGTTGTCTCACTTCTGTGTTTTTGTAGGAAGAACAGCTTTTACTAATCTATTCACAGTAACCTTTCCACACGGGGCACACGTTTGGGTCAAAATGCAAAGGTGAGAAGTCATGATTTGACATGCTCTGGCTTGCACAACTAGACATGTAACTAGAAATACAATGTTTTTTGGCTTCTGAAAAGAGCATCGAGACAGCGTTTTTGCACAGTTCTAAGATAGAAAGATATTTTAAATGCACTGTATGACAAAGAACAGTTTCACAACATTATACTGCTGATGTGACAGCAAACACATTGTCATCTTATGAAAATGGATCAGCAGGTTTTTATAGCTTCCATTGATTTATGAAACTAAAGTTGTTCTCTCTGCAGAAACACACACTCTGTCCTATCTTCTTCATCCTCTGGAGTGTTCCTCTGGGATTAATGATGATGATTGTGGTGCACATTACTGATGATCCTACACCCATCAGCACATTGTTCAATCTTTATCAAAAACATTCTTTGTGTCGATTTCTTCTTCCACAACTTAAATTCCATCGACTAAATCAAGATGGAAGACGTGCCTCTTCCCTGAATGACTGTACTTTATCATATTTGTCATTAAGTGATTTTGAACATGTTTTTCCTCCAATCCTTCCTTGTGTAAGCCTTCACTTCATCACTCTCACAGATGGAGGACAGTACCTGTGCGATGAGGCCCTTGCGGCTGCGGCGGGCGTGGTGGAAGCGTTTGATGAAGAGCGCCAGGAACTGTCTTCTAATCAGCTGCCCCCCGACAATGACCGAGGACCCCCGCCCACTGAGGCTGGCGCTCCTCTGGAGGTCTGCAGAGACATTAAATCAACCATTTTCTATTATCGGAGCATACGTAAAATACTTGACAATTGTCAGGAATTTGGGAATTGTTTTTGTGTTATTTTGGAGATAAGAGGTTATAATTCAGGGCAGTGTCAACTCCAACACTCTATATATTGAAATGTCAATATTTAAGATTAAATATATATTTTTTTTTAAAGAATCACATTTTCAGTTTTCCCATTTTGGATTTTTAGGTAAGAAACTACACAAGAGCAAACTAAGGTAGAATACAATATATTGTTTGTATATGTATTTTTGAATAGGCATTAATAGCCTTCAGTTTAAATGTTAAATAACATAAATGTAACTGTATTTTTAAAAAGCAAAACAATCACCACAGAAAGTTCTCACTTATATTCTTTATTGTGTAAATGAATACATGCATTTAATATGCACATTCATTAAAAAGCTTCGTTGTGTGTCAATATAATTCATTACTTCACAATCAAATTAGGAATGTAAAAATGTCGATAGGCAATAATCTGCATGAGAAATAGAGAAAAATATATATATTTGGTTCTAACTATAATTTCTCTATTCGATTATTATATTATACATTTTTACAATAAATAAACCCTACACTATCACTTCAATACTTAATGATTAGAGCATCCCATATTCTCTTGTGTTATTTATTATCCACTTAATTTAAATCTCCTGCAAAATTCCTCAACTTTGAACATATTTACGTTTTGTTGGCATTTGCAGTGTGTGCAGCGCTGCCCTCTTTAGGCTTGAGTTGTTTCTCAATAATTAGTTGAGAACAAACATAGGAAGGTGTTGGTGAATGAGGCCCATTATATGAAAGTACGACAGTGAATTTCTTTCTTTTGGGTAAAATGGAATAGCGGTTTAGATAAAGCAAAATAAAATGACTTTTTGTTTCAGACAGAGCTTTGCTTATGCCCTCTTTTCTAAATGGCCACTGAGGTGAATCCTCAAACCGAAAGAAGTTAATAATTGAAGAATGACATCAGACATTTGCTACAATAATACAACTAAGAATGAAATACAGTACGCACCTTCCACTTTACTTGTGAACTGCTCCTTTAACTCTGCAAGGGAAACAGAAAGAAAAAAAGTTTCTATTTGAAGACGTTCTGCATTGTACATTCACCAATGTTTAATTGAGCTTCCCTCATTAAAATAATAACTTGCCTCTCTTTGCAGAGGCGCTGGAGATGCTACTCCTCTTGAATGAGTTTCTCCTGCAGTCTCGCTCCAGCAGCTCCTTTGTTGCTGTGGGAATACAAATAAGATGTGTTGTTTTGGCCTGACCCAATTTAAGGTTATAAATAACGAAACTAACAGCTACCTGCCCTGCATGATGCCATATTATATATACATTACTCCTGTAAGAGCACAAAGCCAGGTGCCTCAGGAAGGAGATTGTAGGAGTTAACTGAGGTTGCGTGTTGTTTGGAGGAAGATTTATCTACTGAAGAATACAAATTGTTGAGGAAACACTTTTAAAGATAACTGTACCTGTACTGTACATGCAATTTGAGTGACGTTTCTCCTACTTATAAATCACATACATCTTTTCTTCTTCAAAGTGCGGATTGTTATAATTTTATTCAGCTTTCAACCTTATACAGTATTAATAAGTGCCAGATTCTGTCTCCAAAGAAATGTAGACTGTCGAAGTAAAAATGGAAAAATAAGACATTAATGATTTTTTGTTTTCTGCTTGGAGTGATTGTGGATGCATGCGAAGAGAAGGGGCCTCGGGTCATCTCTCTACATAAACGTTGAATGGGAAGAGGAATTGAAGATTCAAATTACAGAGGAAGAATGGTTTCACATACATAACCCCACTCCTGAAGCATGGAGGGGAATATGATGGAAAGGTTTAGTCTACAATAAAAATCAGGCAACAACAAAAAACGTGTTGAAAGATAAAGCGACAGGGAAACTGTTGTTGCTTTTGTAAAAATGTTTGTGAAATAGGAAATCCCAAACAGCTGCCCTGACTTAAGTTGAACTTGCAGTAAATACGAAGCGGTTACCAGACATTGGCTTAATGTAAAAAACAGGAACTGTAGCTAGAAACTGTTAAGACTTTTTTTAATGGAAAAGTTGATACACTGGGCTCTGGTTTCAGACAGAGGGTGAAAGAGGAGAGAGCACAGCTAGTATGAGAAAAATAAAGAGCTTTTTGAACATTAATGGATGGAAACATGTCACAGTAGAGGCATTCAATGCAAAAGGCACTTTAATAAAGGCTGGGCAATATTTTGATATTATATTAATGTTGTGATGCAACACTAGATATCGTATTAGATTTTTGGACATGACAAAGGAATCCTTACAGCTTAATAAAGTTAACTTTTTTTATTTTAAAGGTTGTTTGGATTGTTCCATAACCAACGTCTCAATGATCTTTGACTGTTTTTCTTAAAATATATCCTTAAAGTTTCAAGTAAGAATCAGAGTAACACTCGCATGTTTGATCTTATTTAAAAAATATGTGAAGTAGGGAAGTTATTTTGAAGCCAGTGTAAGATAACAGCCATTTCAGTTGACTTACTTTCTGAATCCACTCCGGTTTCTTCTGCCACTTTGAGAAATATCTGTGAAATAAAGAACATATATATGAATTATAAAACATTTTAAGACATTCTGTCACATTAAACATGCACAGCAGCAGAATGAATGCAAAATAGTGACTGTAGTGGGTGAGAGAAAGCTAATATGCTATAAGAGATGTATTATCTAAATGTATTCAACAAGTAAGAGTCCACAAAAGAGCCTTTAAGTAAACTAACCTCTCCAAAAATAGTGTCCTCAATTTGTGGTTATTAAAACAATGATGAGACATTTAAAGTGACCTTCCCTTATTTCTTTCTGTTTTAACATCCCCGCTCTAAAAAGTCTTCTCTGGCAAGGCTTGCAAAATGTGATTTTACGTGGTAAATCACAGTCAAAAGAATAGAACAAAACTGCTGCCTTGTCCATAAAACAGTCAGAAGCTGTTAAAAAGCCTTTTCATAACAATAACCAGAGTAAATGTAGTTTTATTACCAGCTTCCATGAAACATCCATCCGCCCCTTTTTCATTTATTTTTCACTTTCACTCACTTATTTCTACTGAAGTGCAGCCGGAATTTAAAAAGAAAACATGACGGGTAAAAAACCTTGTGGTGTCTAAATGAAAGACATTCAAAAGGAATTATTAACATCGCCCACAAGATGTGTAATTCATGTCGGAGTTACACACAAATAATTAACCAACATCTCTCTGCTTTATGTCTCAACATAAGGCTGACAAAATACTGAGAGGGAGAAACAAATAATAATAATAATGCTAATAAAAAACATGTTTTATGTTCCTGATGTAATCATAGGCCATGAGTTGTGCTTGTCAATTATCCATTAAGTTTCAAATCTAATTGAACCAATTATCCAGTTAGCTTGCACACCTGTTGATTGTTGCCTATCTGTGTGTTTGTCTTGGTCCACTCTGACTGTGATGAAGACGCAGTGGTGTTCTAATGCTCGTCTGTTTGCACAATTAAAGGCAGCTCATTAATCAGCGCTCCTCTCTCTGTGCTCCAGCTGAGAGCGTCTGATGAGCTGCTGCAGCACAGGCAGCAAAAAGAACTGTTTCAACAAACCTGAGGATTACACTGAGACTGCACCTGAGAGTAAGTTATAGGCTCAAATGTAAGGTTGCTTCTTATACTGCGGGAGGGGTGTGATTTATATTCTGTCCACCAACATTCTGAATGCTTATTTTCAGACTCAGAGAAGAATAATGGTAGGACAAGGAGAAGCAGAAATAAACAGTGCATATGGTGTGAAGTGTAATTGCAGTCATTATAAAAGAAAAATGTGAAAAACAATAATTAAATTGTTTGTATTTAGTGTATTATTTTGAATGAAAATGTTAGCTTTTTAGTTTTTTTATGTCATAATTATGATCATGCATTCCTTAGGATTCAGAATCAGGAGGATTTAAGCAGTAGTTTTGCTTTTTTTTTTTACGATGGTGACATATCTCTGTCTCACATATAGCATTATATTATGTAGCCTCATTCTAAGCTGCTCTGAGGGTCTGCAGGCTGTTCTGCCAGCCGTACCTCCTCCAGTGTGGTGTCGGAGATGCCGTAGCTGGTGAGTCCGAGCTCAGCGGAGGCCCGGTCCAGTTCTGAGAACAGCAGAGCGAAGGTCCCGTCTCTGGCTCCGGCGTACGGCAGCACGAAGGTGATCTCCTGGCCGATGCTCTCCAGGAAGACGGCCCCGGGGACGTAGCGCCGCACAATCTGACCAACATCTGACACGTCTGCAGAACCAGAGACACAGAGTTACTGAAAACACCTCAGGATGGTTCCTGTGCACACACCAACAGCTCTGTGGGGAATATATAGTTATATTTAAAGTCTGTTATTATTAGTTTTACTATTTTATATCATTAAAGTTGATTTCTTTGTGTATTCAATTGTATTATTACTTGTATGCATTATTGTTACTATTTATATATCACATTTTAGTTCATTTCTTGGACTGACAAAACAAGATATTTGGATTTTCTTATTTTATTTTGTTAATATAAATACATTACATTTATTTTATTTGATCTTTTTATTATCAATTCTTACTTAAATCTCTCCTATTTTATTTAATTTTTTTATTTATCAAATGTGTTCTTTAACCTGCAATAAATTGATAATACTATTTGGTTGTAGCCCTACAGAGAACTCAAAGAACTTTAAAGTGAAATAATATCAGTCAAATGAAAGCAAACATCTGAGAGAATATGTTAGAGCAGTGGAGTAACGTATGGAGAGGTTTTGACCTTTAAACACAGTGGAAAGATTTGTAGACACATTTCTGCAGCCGGTCTCTCTGAGAATCAATCAGCTCAGAGTTGCAGACACACAGCGTCTATTATCGATCAGAAACTCTCAGACATAATTACTGCAGCAGCTGCTGCCGCTTTATTTATGAAGAACAAAATAGATCAGCCTCATTCTGGATTATTTGTGTGAGTGTGTTTGTCTCTGAGTAACAAAGAGGAATGTGCTGTCACTTCAGGAAATGTGAGGATGATATTTATGGCATTATCAATCTGAATATCATGTGTGGAATCTTTATGAAGATGTGAGTATTGATTTATTTTCCATGCATTATAAACTCTTACTGTTGTTACCTGTACCAACAACCTGCAGCATGTGTTGATTCTCTGTGTCTTTACATGTACTTATTATAATAAAACTCCATTGAGAAAACTACAATAAGTTCTGGAAAATGAGATTATAGATACGAGATCATTTACGAGATGATAATTGGTTGATAACTTATCATAAAGGACATAAAAAATTAGCTAAACTTTACAATTAAGATTTGAAAAGCATTTCGCTGTAGTTTCATATTTTTTCTTGCTATCATTTATCAAAATGTCTACTCTAGATGCTTTGAATTGTTTGAAACAAGAATGAGTCGGGAAATGGATCAAACTATTTATTTCAGACCTGTATGTTCTTTTTATGCATTAATGTGACAAGATATTAGAATAATGAGACTTGTCATGTGTTTTGTGTGTTTTTGAGTTGCCAACTTATATATTAAATCATTAGAAAACCTTCCAAAGACCTTTTGATGCTGAAGAGCTTTGTACATTTATTAGAATTTATTAAATGTCATTTTAGTTTCTAGTTATGTTTTATTGAATTTGAAGGACCAAGGCCAATCTATAGAGGAGAGGATAACAGCCACCTGAGACTGAAGCTATCACATGGATGTGCTTAGAAAACCTCACAACGTACTGTAATAACATCACTCTGTGGGCAGTTGACCAATCACAACAGAGCCGGCCAGTTCACCAATCAGAATATACTGGGTCATAGTATAGGCACAAAATACTAATATGAACATGAGCTGAATATGTCCCCTTTAATATAAAAAGGAAGGAGAAGAACTCTGGATCAAGGTCATCAATTATTTGAAGAAATTCAAAATAGAATTCCCTTCATTTAATGTTTAAATGTCCACATTGTCTTCAAGTTCTCTATATTCGCAAAGCTCCTCTAAGTCTTTCTCTATCAATAAACTACTTCCAATTGTGTATTCACCATTTCAGTGTGACATTAAGGTGCACTTCTAAGGTGGTTACATGATTTCAACAGCTTTCCTGTACAGTCTGCTGGTTTGGAATTGGAAATGTGGAACAGAAATCAATGAGAGAATGGATGTTGGTGGCATTTTGAGGAGTGTTATGGTTATTGTTTGCGTGTGTTGGAGCTGTTCCCAGACTCCTGTGAGGTTTTGGAGCTATAGCTGCTAACTCTGTGTGTGCTACCGTGACATTTAACACAAGGTTTGACAAAAGACGGTGAGGTGAGTTAATCCTGAAATATGGAGGCAGGAAAGGAGATGCAGTTTGTACCTGAGGGGTCCGAGTTGGCCCAGGTCTGACTGCCGATGCCGTCATCTGGACTGCTGCTGCGAGAGGTGAAGTCTTTCTCCTGTTAGTGACATAAAAACACAGAGGACACATCTGTAAACAACAACATGTTTAGTAGACTCTATCAAACATTAACATTGAAGAGTATTAGGAGTATTGGGCTGTGGCTTCAGGAAATGTCTCAGTTTACCTTTGGAAATACTACATACACACTAAAGAAGACAAACAAAAAGGTATCTGAGGAATATTTATAATTGATCTTAGGGACAAGATTGATCTCAAATCGAAGAATAAATACAGCATCTGAAATATTGTTGATAGGGTGACTAAGAAAAATGTTGAATATTTAAATGTGTCTGCCTATTGTAGAGGACCAGATCAATGGGTCTGATTACCTACTTTGAGGAACTCATTGTAAAGGCCTGTAAATCACAAGTTTTCATTACATTTTTATATTTGAAAGATTCCTGCTGATATGACAGTCTGCCATAATTTCTATTCGATTCAGGCACCTGCAGTCAATATATGCTGATTTAACAAAGTCACATATATTTATATCAATTGCCAATCGATCAAAATATACAAATGAAACATTTAAAAAACGGGGCTTGAGGAAAAACATTTGAGAATTAGACACTGTGTTGATCATTAAAGTGCCACTTTTCTCATGATTAAGTCTGTTTGCATGTGTAGGAGGAGAGAGCTTGGACAGACATGGTGACACAATTTAGTCGATAGGTTATTTAAAAAACAATCTAAAAATACATTATTTAAGTGCCACATTTGTTGGTTATGGTAGAGGTAGACTTGGACAAAACTAGTGACAAACAAAAGCATATCATAATGATGTTTCCACTTTGTCAATTGCCAATATTTGGTCTCTATTTGGTTTTCTTACTGTCGGTACATCCTTGACCTGACTCTGAATGATCCCGTTTCTCTGTGCCGCCATCTTGACGCTCCCCTCTCGCACCAGCGTCAGGTAGTAGCCGCTGCCGAAGCACTTCTTCAGGAAGAGCGAGGAGCCGCAGCAGCGCATCTTCCCGTTGGAGATGATGGCGATGCGATCCCCCAAGATGTCCGCCTCGTCCATGTGGTGTGTGGACAGGATGATGGTGCGGCCTGAGGAGGAAACACATCAGTGAATGGACTCAGTGAGAGAGAGAATCACTGGATTGCAAATATAATCAAATTAAAGCACAGATTGGACATTTAAAAAAAAGCTCCTCTTTGGATTTTGTTTGTTTTGACAAGAAAAGATGTCTGGGATCAGAAGTGTTCGAGTCAAGCCAATATCACAATCTGTCTCTGCATGGTGCTCTCTTATCTCCTCTCTGCCAATTCCACACTGTTTTTACCAACGCAGATCCGCATGGCAACAAAGCTCCAGAGGAGTGTGGGTGTGAATCTGGGACAAAATTAAAATGATGATAAAGGCCACACTAAGCCTGCTTTCCAGCGTTTCTGTGAGTCTTATTTCCTCTGTGCTCGGAGACGACGAAAACTGATTGCAATGACAACGACAGCATGTACTGCGAGGTTATTCACAGATGTGCAAATCCTTATAATATCACGCTGTATCAGATAACAAGCGTTAATTATCACGTACACCAAGACAGAGGGAAGGAGTGTAATGAAGTCTCAGCATGGCTGGGACTCTGCAGAGTCACTTTTTATGGAGTCACTTTTAAAACATTTAACCTCATCTTTTCATCGTTTAGTGACAAAAAGGAACCCGATTCAACTCAGACACTTTCAGCAGACTGTGTTTGTACAGCTAGTAATGCCACAAAGGTCAACTAAAGATAATAACAGAAGCTTTTTCTTTAGTAATGATGGTGGCTATGTGCAACGGCATGCAACACCACCCTGTGTGCCGTGGTATTCGTTACAATGCATGCATGTACACGCTGCTACTTTTAGACAGATTTTCAATTAGTGATTAACTTGAACTCCCCCGATAGACACTTTTTTATCCACATCATGTGAGCACATCTAGTTTATCTTCACACTGTAAACATTGCACACTCTTCTATATCTTTCGCACATTTCTGTCCCATATCAGGCATTCCAATCTCAGAACATGCACTTTTATATCTTCACTTAATTTGGTGTTTATTGCAGAAGGCTGCTGAGCTGGTTAAACCCTCGCAGGTCACATATATCTCGGGGGTACACTCAGACGTCTTCAGCTGCAGCTCCACATTTTGCTTGGCCAACTATTTCCCCTCCTCCCCTTCCTCCTCCTCCTACTCCTCCCCTTTTTGTGCCCTGTCACCAGCTAATCTGCTAAATCCCTCCTCAGTTAAATATTGTTCGCTAATGCTGTGCTGAGCAAGTCCTCTGAATAAAAGTCCCCAAAAGATCCCTGAGCTGCACAGAACAATTTAGTATATGGGGGAGAGTGCGCTGCTGATGAGGGGAGGGGGTGAGGAGATGTTTTGGACGCTCAAACTCACACATAATTTTCCTCAGGATTTGTTATGCTTTACAAGAGGAAAATCTAAAGGCTCAGCATCCTCTGAGAGTTTGGAGTAAAATAAATGTGTTTGGACTGCAGACGGCCCACTCAGGTTTTCTGATTTATCGTGTTTTGTGGTGCATTACAGCAGAAAGTGATATATCAAAAGCAGTTCAGGTAAATTGGAAGTACTCGCACAGCAAAGAGCGGCGGGAAATGTTCCGTTATTCAGCTTCCTCGCCTCTAAATCAACCTGAGAGGAATGGGTTTTACAACCTGGACAGATGTTATGTACTTCTGCAGAAAGATGAATTATTGTGCAAAACTTTATTAACTGCCGTCTGTGGAAATCATCCGTCCTTCTATTATCTTGGTTTTTTTTTTTACAGCGGGGGACACTGTGCAGGCTCACATTCACACACAGGGGTGTTATTAACAAATCTTATTATTAACCTGCACGCTTCAGACTGTGTGAGGGAACCAGAGGAATCCCACGCAGCCATTGCACATTATTTAGTTTCCATTTCAATATAATAAAGAATAAACTGAAATAATTCATTTTGTTCACTGGAAGAGATTCAGATATGGTGTAACTGCTTCTGAATGGACGAAGATACATACAGCTGCACTCAGCATCCACATAAATAAATATAACTTATAGTAGGTTTGCATGCTCTGAAATGATTTTCTTTGCAGCTTTGTTTCTCTCAAAGTGAATCACCTTCCTACATGTGTCAGATGTAATCTCAGTGCTGTACTGTGCCGCTGTAATATTCTGTTTATTGCATTTTAGACGAGCTGCTTTATGTAATTTCACTGCACAAGCACTAATTCAATCGTAATAACTTTACTTCAGAGGTGCTAATTCTTTTTTCACTTCCAAGAAATTCAGTGGGAGAAATCTAGTTTAATTTGCTGTGTAATCTAAATCATGTTTGGTTGCTTTTTTAACAAAAATGTCATATTTGTGTGGTGGTTTCCAGCTCAAATAAAAGAGAAGGAGGCCTCTCAGGGAAAGCCAATTCAATCAAAACACTTGTTTGAAAAGCCTGCACGCTTAATTAGCTGTGAAGAGCCACAAATAAGTAGAATTTTCTATAAAAAACACACTCTGTATTGATGTGCCAATTAGAGGACTAACAGGATGTGGGAGTTCTCATTAACGCTGAGTTATCTGTGGAAGCTAATGATGAGCTAATGACAGAGAGGGCGGCATGTCACTCAATGCACATTCAACATTTGGACAAGTGTTGGGTTTATGTTGCTGTAATGTCCGTGTCCTGCAGCAGGAGACACACAGTATATAACGCTGACTGATGGAGGAGACAATTACAGACTCTGTTGAATAGAAATGTCAATTAAAGCGTCTCAGATTCACTTCTGTTCCAGGACAAATTACAATTTCTGTCCACCCACTGCAGAGAGGCACAGAGCCAATCGGATACTGTCATTACCCTTAACTCTCCTAATCGAATGTTAATATACACAATAAAAGCGCTAAAGTTTAGCTGTAGCTCAGCTCTGGTTGGAAAAGTTATTTTTTGTGTTTGTATTTTATTGTTATAATAGTTTTCTTTTTCTTTTCTTGTAGATGTATTCTTGTTCTCATTATTATCATTTAATATGAACACTATCAGTAGGTTAGTGTGTATTTATGTTAATTCCTGCAGTACAATATACAAACTGAAATTATTCACGTATATTAAAGGCTGTGAACTGTGAACAACACCATTAGTAAGTTAGCGTATATTTATGTTATGTCCTCCAGTAAAGTATCAAAACAAATACAAATTATAGTAACACTTAAAGCAGCCTGAGACAAAGCTCAAGACAACTAAGATTCAAGACCTTTTTTAATGCCACTTAGAATAAAATGAGAACGTTTTACTGACCATTTAAGTCTTTGCAGGAATACTATAATTATTATGGTTATTCCTTTATTATATATAAATGTGAACAACACAAATTCTAACAAAGTGTACATTTATTTGAATTCCTGATTTTCTTTAAAACAAGTCAGTCCCTCAAGAATAACACATTTTAAGCCATAATTCAAAGCCATTAGAAGTACAACACGTTTTAAGTATTTGTAAGGACGCACATGAATGCGGCAGAGCGTTGATTCTTCCTCACCTTGTTTGTATTTGAGCAGCAGGTCCCAGATCCCCCTGCGGGCGTAGGGGTCCACACCCGCTGTGGGTTCATCCAGGATGACGATTTTTGAGCCGCCGACAAACGCTATAGCAACAGACAGCTTCCTCTGCATCCCGCCTGCAACAGAACAACCTCCATCATGTATTATGTCTTAAAGAATAAAGTATTTCCTGTGTTTTTATGACACAATATGGGAACTGATTATATACTAAATGTGTCAGGATGAACACATCTGTTTTTTTCTCTTTTGCATGACGGTGCAAGAAGATTGATGTCAGAGGAGTAGACACACCTTCCTCTGGTTACTTCAGTCCAAATGCATCTGCTGCAGAGCTAATGTAGCGGAAATGTCGGCATGCATCAGCCTTCAGAGTCATTTTCAGTGATTTTGCTCACAAGTAACCCGTGACCGAGGACAATTTGTCAAGCTCATGTCCCCCAGACAATGAATTACACAACCTGTGACACACAGGTGCGGGGTGTGTGTGCGGTGCAGCTTCACCCTGCAGTAAAGGGTAATCTGAAGATGATATTCCCTCCCAGGGGGAATAAATAAATGGACCGAGCACAGAAAGTGATGAACACATCTAGAATGAAATTTACATCACTGCATAATTTCACCAGACACACACCTGACAGGTTCTTAGCCAGATCCTTCCTCTTGTGCAGTAAACCAACATCCTCAATCATCTGCTCCATCTCCGTCTGCACCTCCTGGCGGCTGAGTCCCTTCAGACGGGCGTAGAAGTAGATATGCTCCTCCACTGTCAGCCTGGGAAGAGAAATGAACATCAATAGCAATAAAAGAGGCCATCACCTGCCACTTATTTATGTAAAAGTGTTTGAAATGTCCAGAACTGTCACATTAATGCATCCTGCAAGATGATGAGGCTGCTTTTTCTCAAGTGCACGTTTGGAACTGACAGAGAAAAGTGGGATTGAAATATGTCGTGATGTCTATCTCTCTGTGTGCATGCATTTTAACCCTGTTTAATAGAGATGCGTTGACTGTCAGGGATTAATATTAATGAAAGTAATCTGCAGGTATTCAGACATGATTATGATGTAGGACTTGCAGGTAATCAGTTTGTGCAGAGAAAGAAACCGAAGAGACGCTAAAGGTGAAATATACGAGTTGGGAATGATGCCATCAGGAGAAATATGATTTTTAGGAGAAAAGAGAAAGGGATAATGATGAGACTGAGCCCTCATTATGCATGTTATTAAATTGCACTCTAACGATCTCTTCTTTTAAAAACACTGAAATGAAAGCATGGATATAGCAGTGTTTAAACTTGCAGATTTCCCTCACTCATTGAACAAGACGTTGTGCTGCGGGCACATTCCCAGATACTTCCTGATGGAGTCCATGTCAGACAGGATGTCGTATCCGTTGATCAGAGCTGTTCCCGATGTAGGAGGGAACAGGCCGGTCAGGATGGACCTGCAGAGGAAACACACACACACAAACACACACACACACACACTCTGATTATTATTAAGCTTAGAGATGATGCATAACTCCTTTGTAATTATAGAGCTGGAAAGTAACTCAATATACCTACAACTATTTGGAACTTTTTTGGCCAGTCCTCGAGACTCGCATTATTTGATTTAGTTAAAATAATACAATTATGAATACAAAATAATGTTTTTAGTCTCTCCAAATTGGTTTCACATGGAAAAAAGGTGAATAGCTAATAGCATAAATAAACTATTTTCTTCTTTTAGTAGCATGTGCATGTTTTCAGTGCTACAGTCCTTCGTCTGTTATCTTTGGTTAAAGTCGCTCAGAGCTTCTTCTTCTCTGCAGCCCTTAGTCTTACCTACAGTTTGTGTCCTCGCTTTTTTTAAATCCCTGTCATCCTAAAACTCTTCTAACCTATTTGCCCAATTTTTTTTAAACATGCAGAGCACACAATTCTAGAGGAGCAACAGGTGACTCACATGGTGGTGGTTTTCCCGGCTCCGTTGTGTCCGAGGAAAGACGTGATCTGATCCTCGTAGAAGTCCATGCTGAGGCCGTCCACCGCCAGCTTCTTCCCCGTCTTGTAGATTTTAACCAGGTTACGGATTGAGACGCCTGCTTTCATATCGGACGGTGCTTTCTCCAGATACTCTGCAGACACACAAGCAAACAAAACATGCATACACTTATAAAACATGTCTTCATTATCTTCATGTGCCTCACTGACAGAAAATGATATATTGAGAGTGACACATTTAAATGAACTTAAAACAATTATTTATTTAGAACACTCTTTATTCCTTTAAAAGTGTAACATGTGAAGACACCTCACTCGATCCTCTGAATGTTAATTGGAAATATTTTTTTTTAACGAGTTGCACACCGCTGTTCCTCACAAAGCACCCAACTCCATTTTCACCTGAAGTGACAAATCAGGTGTTGCTGTTTCTTTGCGAACCGTCGCGATAAACTAACACTTTATTCCCACAGACACACACACATATTACCTACCGCTGTTTACGGAGGGGTCCTTCAGCGGGGGGGGGGGCAGCGGTCGTCACAGAGGCGGTCCCACACCAGTACGACGCGGTGACGGGGAAGTACCACGGCTTCGGGATCCCATACTGACCTGGGATCAGGTAATATTCACATTTTACTTCAGAAATATGAATTACAGTTCATGTATCCTCCCCACACATCCTGTCTCTCCGTTATAAAGCATTAAGTCTGTTTGCATGACTGCATCCATATTGAATTGTGATCTCATTCATGTTTTTGTGCAATAACATACATATTCTTAATGACAGGATGACCAATTTGTGTATATGTGTATATCCATATGTAGCCAATGCAAAACTCACATGTATTATAAAATCATATATCTGTACATTAACTGAGTTTCTAAGAGAATCATTAGGTGTCTGTGCAATCAAATGAATCAGCTTTAATAACAGTGCATACCTGGGAAGACGTTCTCGATGTACCAGGTGAGCAGCCAGTAAAAGGTGGCGTCAAACAGCATCATGATGATGGAGACGATGAAGGTGTAGCTCTCGCCCTCCTCCGGGCTCTGGAGGATGTTGGACCACTGGATCCCGATGCCTTGCTCCTCGTACTTCGCAAAGTTCTCGCAGCCGTACCCGAACGCCACGCAGGACAGCAGACTCTGGAGGAGTAACAAGAGCATGGTAAATCAGAAAGAGTGCGAGGAGGAGTTAATGCGTGCAGGACTTTAACCAAGCATGGGGAATACCGGCATTTTTTAAATGTATTTAATGTACCTAAGATTCAAAATCTTTATTATTGTTTTTTTTATTAATGGTATTATTATTATTATTTAATTTGCGATTGTTTTTGTCTTATTTATTTTGTACTTTCTACCGAGGGAGTCATTTGTTGTGTTTTTTTAGATTATTATTATTCATTTTTTGTATTCTCGACTATTTGACCTCCTTGTAATCTTTGAAATCATGTAAAAAAATTATTATGATTTAAACTTTGTTTTAACTCCCTAACAGTATTCATTAGTAAGGAATAGCACATATTCTGCATATATTCAGGTTTAATATAAGTATGTTGTGTCTCTACATGTTTCCAAGCTTTAATGTTCAAAAAGCTCTTTATTTGTTTTATGGCGCCTGTGCTGCAGCACCCTTTTCACCCTCTGTCTTAAACCAGAGCCTAGTCCAGAGGTAACATTGGGATTTTAGGTTTTTCAGACCGCTAAGCTAACCAGCTCCATATTTTACATCCTGACACGAAAGTAGTGTCCATCTGCTCGTCTAATTATCGGCAGTAAAGGAGAAACGTCATTCCAAAGCAACGACTCAGAGGACATTGCATTCAGTGATTCAGGTGATGACTTAATCTGAGCATCGAGGTCACGCTCAGCTGATCGGCAGCGGTAGACAAAAGGAAGCTCAGCTGCTATAATTGCTGCGCTGTCTTTGTGAACATCTCTCAGGACTTCATTTCAGAACAAAGATGGAGACTGAGCTGCAAACTGAGATTTGTCGGTGCTTTCATACAGTACAGAGGGAAATTGCAAATGATGCTTTTGCCCATGAGACATCATCTGCCGCGGGCCTATCACTCCGCACCGCCAGCTGTTTCATCACGCCTCATTTGCTCACAGCGTTTGTGAAGCTGCAACGATCACGGAGACTGCCTGCCCGGTGTTACTCTACCAGGCTGAGGAAGAGGAGCGACCTGCTGCAGAGACACAGACCTCCAGCTTCCTGTTTCTTCTGTCCTCTGACAAGCAATCAGCAGAGAGTCAGGGAACGAGGTGACAGCAGGGCAACCATCCTTGACCTCGGAATGAATGGCTGACAAAACCACAGCAGCCACTTATATAGCTCTGAGAGGAGGAGGAGGCGGACCAAACAAGCGCCTCACATGAACACATGTCAGATTCATCTGGCTGCAGCCACAGAGCATCGTTAGAGGAAGAGCGATCAGCGGCGCTGTGCAGAGAGTCGTCTCTGACAGCTGCATGACGGACAGGAGCACAACCAGCTCCTGTGTGACGAAGATTGATTTGATAAACTGGAAGAGTTTTTATTCCTGCAGGAACATGTCGGAACAGAAAGTCTGGAAAGTTTAACAACACCGTGAATCGATGAGTTCATTGGCAGAATATTATTTTGATACTCACAACTACTAAGAGAAAAATCAGCATTGCATTGTGATGAGTAAGTAAACTGGTTTATTTATGTAGGTCCTTTTTTTAAGATAAGATGTACTTTATTAATCCCAATCTGCTTTACGGACAACATTAGTAGGTAATAGTAATGTACTTATGTTGGTCTATTGAGTTTCCTAAATAAGAGCGCATTATTAGACATTTCTTAACAAAAAGTGAGCGTCCAGATGTTGAAAAAGCAGGAATCAATTATGACCTGAGCAATATCAAATGATTTTGCAGGAATTAGCATTTTCCTCAGGATTTTTCCAGGACAGAAAGATTAATTGAAAATATTTCCAGAAAACAGAATAGCTCTAGGCGCTCTCTTGTTTCCACCTCGTTAAGAAGTGCAGGTAAAAAAAGATTAAAAAGATTAAAAAAGTACAGTAGATAGTGGTAGGATGTGATTCCTGCCTGCAGCTGCTCTCAGAAGCTCTTCTCATAAATCCAGGTGATCTTTAGAAATTATAGACTTCATTATCAAGGACAATGTGGGGGACAATTTGTATGCCTCGGCACGATGGGGTTTCAGCCCAGCTCTGCACACACACACACACACACACACACACACACACACACACACACACACACACACACACACACACACACACACACACACACAGATCAGTGATGAAGTGTGAGGATGAACTGGATAGTGGTTTGGTCAGAGGAACATTGCTCATGCTAATTAGAGGAGCAGAGGGAGATCCATCTCACTGTGCAGAGGCAGAGGGAGATGTAAGCGCCGGGGGAGTGTGGAGATTTAAAAAGGTTTGCACTGCTTTATATTTAAAACGCATACATCACCTGCATGCAGAGTGCAAAAGGAAATGGACTGGAAAGAGTGAAATAATGTGTACGGTCTTACTCAAAGTTATTTCTATTGGATGTCGGTTTGAAGCAGGTTTAACAAAGTACAAGACATTTCAAAGCGTGTCTATTAGGAAGCCTCAATTATATAGCCTTAAAATGATATATCATAATGTATTTTTTAACCTCATTTAATCTAATCGAACATTTCGTTTTTAGTCCTTTCAGACAAAAACAATATGAATATGTAATAGTTTTCATTATTTTCATCTATTTATTCAGGCATGCATTTAATTATTTAATTCAATTTCTATTTTTTCTTACATTTAAAAAATAATCATTTGTATGCACTCTGTGGATACAGCTGAATGGTAACAGCCTTAGACGACATGCACTTTGATAGATAAAAGCACGACGGTGTTTGCTTCTCCTCGAGTTGATATCGTATTGTTGAAAGGACAAAAAAGAGAAGATAACCTGATGAAGTTTTGGGACGATACACATCAATGAAGATTCAGGATGTTGTGTCTTTGTGTGCAGAAAGGACAGCGTGAGGACAAATGATAGCAGCAGCTCCATAAAGGTCACAGAAAGGCTACACTGAAGGTTGAGCAATGGTGCAGCATTTATCTTGATAAGAGCGAAGAGGGGGGAGAATCTTCCTCACTGTGTCCGTCTACTCCCTTCTTTATGTACGTCCAGTTTTAATAAAGTTCTGCAGGTTTGTGGCAAAATATGTCAAGACAATTGGGAAGCAATGCAGAGTGACAGGATGAATATTTATTCCTAAATTATTTAATATTTAAAGTTCACAGAAACTCTAAATCCATCTTGCAGACACATTATGAGAGTTATGCAGAGAGGGTGAGGGCAAATCTATAAAGAAATAATCGAGTAGATGAACTTCCTTTCAACATGAAAAACGTTATCAACCTGCACCTGATGTAGCTACTTTGGACTTTGCACACGTCCAAAGTAGTAGTAGTATTCATAATTACAAATATCTTTAAATTTGAAAACAATTCATACTTTTGCATTTACATTTTGTATTTCCCTGCCACTTAAATAAATGTTTATCTAATCTGTTTTCTTTTTTATTGGGACAATAGAGCACAATCAGTGAAAATGATAACATAAAAAAATAATATATAAGACATTAATACATGTATGAATCATTGTACGTATTTATTTAATTACTTATTTGTGTGGAAATGTATTCATTTATTTATTTTCATTTGTATATTTTTTTCTTTCATGTTTTATTTGATATTGGAACAATACAGCACAATTGTTCAACATAAAAGAATAATTTAAAATTAATTAATAATAATAAATAAAAACATTGTAAGATCTTAACCATGTATAACAGCTACATTTTTCCAAAATATATCCCATTTATCTTCTTGGAATCTATGAGTACAAGTTCATTTCTCCATAGAGCAGATATAGTTTATTTTGTTAATAGGAAGAGCAAAAGTTACTTTGGATAAGTTTCTTTACTTGTGGCAATAATAGTCCAGGTATGCATTTATTTTATTATTATTTATGCGCAAAACGTTTTTAGGTGGAATATCTAAGATTTAAATGGCCTACTCCTTTACAAAAAGGCTTCACATGTGGACAATGCCAAACATGTGTGCATGGTCATCTTATCTTTAATAATTAAACTTAAGATTGTTTGGATATACAGTACAGTAGAGCTTTGATTGCCAAAGTGTGATTATAGTGGCTGATAACATACCTCAGAGTACGGTGAGTATGACAACAGCAGGAGGAGATATTAAAACAGACTCACCACCGCCACCTTGACCTCGAAGCCCATGACGTCCCTCCAGGCGTAGCAGAGGACGTGCGGCAGGTAGAGGACGAAGTAGATGAGGCCGCCGCACGCCGCCGCGAGGTTAGCCTTGGAGAAGAAGACGCTGATGAAGAAGCACTGCGTGACGGTGGCCAGGCAGAACACCAGCAGGAAGACGAAGATCACCGAGGGGTCGCTATACTGCAGAACCTTACCGTACTGACACAGGAAGCAGACACATGACACTGAAGCAAACACTTTGGAGTTTTAGTCGAGGAGATTGGAGGAAACAGATTCAGAAAGTGTGATTAAAGATGATTATTTGAGGAGGAGGCAGAGTAAAAGAGTTTTAAAAGGGTTCAAATATGATTTTTTTGTGAAACAAGCCAACATGAAACTCTGTTACTGTACCAGTTTGAAGGAGGACCCTACTCTATTTTTACTGAGTTTAAATCTGGAGAGTCCCAGTTTGGAAAATTGTGCTTTTTGATGCAATTATGATTATAACCTTGTGATTTAAACGTTGTGTCCTCATTAACATAATGTCAGACTGAAGTCTCTGCAGAAGTAGAGCTGGGTCCTCCTCTAATCAATGGTAAATCATGTCACCTTCAGGGTGAGAGCGAGGAGCACGGCGCTGAGGGCCAGCGGCAGCAGGCTGGACACCGCCCAGCTCAGCCAGTAGATGGCCCCCTGCAGACCCATGATCCTCACCGTCTCCTTCAGACGCGCCTCCTTCTCCGCCACGATGCCCTTCACGATCATGGCCACCGAGTAGATCCACGCTAACGTCATGTATAAAGGCAGGGAGCGGGCCAGAGAGCGCAGGAACCTGGGGGGGGGGGGGGGGGAGCCGGGGGCAGCTTATAACGGGGGGTCTGGAGGATGACTCGTGGAACACCAATGCTCATGTGCAATACCGTTAACGCTTCATTACCTTACAAGTTATGATAGTTTGTTAATGTTACCGGCTCATCTGTAGTTTATATTAGCCTGCCTTGAAGCAGCGGGAAGAGGCAACATTTGGTAACTCCTAGACTTGTTAGGCTTGCAATGCATCCTGGTACATGTATGCATTGCACATCAGGAGCACCATAAACCTGGGTCTGGAGTATGGCTGCTGATGCATATTTGTATTTCAATAATAATATAATATAATCATATATAATTTGTGTTCATTATTTATTCATTTTGTCTCCAGGTTTTGTTTTCATCTCTCCTTTAACAGCACCGTCAGATGCGCCGGTGAAGATGGCCGCATTGTCTTTGTGCTCCTCTCCAACTTTGCCCATTTTCGTATTTTGTACATATTTCTTTTACTTTTGCCGTTTTACTTTTAACATGGTTCGCAACATGCTAGCCGACCGCACCTACTCTGCCATACAATATAGCAGAGAGGAACTTTTCCAATTGCGAAACTTCGTGGACAATATTAACCCTCCGACAGACAATGGAGATTCACCATGGCTACCTGTTGCTGTTCTACCTGAGAGACGCAAGAAGAAGACAAAGCGGGGATGCCGGGCCGGGTTGCTGGTCAGACTGAGAAAACGTGAGAATCGGCCCCCTCTTCCGAGTATTCTTCTGGCTAATGTTCAATCCATTGAAAATAAGCTAGATGAACTCAGAAGCCGGATTGCTTTTCAACGGGACATTAAGAACTGTAACGTGTTAATTCTCACTGAGACTTGGCTCAACCCCGCTATCCCGGACTCCGCTATTGTCCCTGACGGATTCTCTATTTTTCGTCAGGACCGGACTGCAAACTCGGGGAAAAGTAAGGGAGGCGGTGTGTGTGTGTAATGACTAACAACAACTGGTGCTCAGATGTGAAGATTATTTCATCGGACTGTTCCGCACAGCTAGAGCACCTCATGATCTCATGTCGGGCCTTCCATCTGCCGAGGGAATTCACATCTGTTGTGATAACAGCAGTGTATATCCCGCCGCAGCCACTCGCCGACAACAACACGGCACTCGATCAGCTGTTTGGGTTTATTGATAAAACCGAGACTTCACGGCCAGATGCGGCGTTCGTTGTGGCCGGAGATTTCAACACCGCCAACATGAAGAAGGTTTTGCCAAATATTACCAACACATCAACTTCCCGACGCGCGGGGAGGAAACATACTGGACCATGTTTATTCCCCTTTCCGGAATGGATATAAGGCTCTCCCTCGCCCTCCCTTCGGCAAATCAGACCATATCTCACTACTGTTGTTGCCTGCTTACAAGCAGAAACTTAAAAGGGACAGACCGATAACAAGGACAGTACAACGATGGAGCGAGGAGTCAGATTCAGCACTGCAGGATTGCTTTGCATCTACGGATTGGAGTGTGTTTGAGGACAATAACATCAACACACACACGGACACTGTCATCTGCTACATTGGGAAATGCATCGATGACGTGGTACCGAAGGTTTCTGTACGGACATTCCCAAATCAAAAGCCCTGGGTAAACGGTGAGGTGCGCGGCAAACTGAAAGCGCGCACTCTCGCGCACACAGCGGGAGATTTGGAGGAGTACAGGAAGTCTAGGTATGATCTCCGGAGAGCAATAAAAAATGCAAAGAGACAGTACAAAGAGAAGGTGGAATCTGACTTCAAAGGCTGTAACACTAGGAATATGTGGGCGGGACTAAGGACAATGACTGACTACAAAGGAGCAGCGGGGGGTGCTGCGGGAGTGTCTGCGTGCGCATCTCTCCCAGATGAGCTAAACAGTTTTTTTGCACGCTTTGAGAGCAGCCAGGCTGTGGCGGTACAGAGGGACCAGGAGCTACACTGCCCTTTTGTTTTAAATAGGGCAGATGTGTGTAAATCCTTTAAAAGGGTTAACCCACACAAGGCTCCTGGACCTGATGGCATCCCTGGCCGTGTTCTCAGGGTGTGTGCAGTTCAGCTTCAACAGGTCCCTGCTGCAGTCTGTAGTCCCCACATGTCTTAAACACTCCACCATCATTCCTGTCCCCAAAAAGACAATCATCACCTGCCCCAACGACTACCGCCCAGTAGCACTCACCTCCATCATAATGAAGTGCTTTGAGCGGTTAGTCAAATTATTCATCACCTCCTCCCTCCCTGAATCTCTGGACCCCTGCAGTTTGCCTACAGAGCAAACAGGTCCACAGACGACGCCATAGCCCTCACCCTCCACACTGCCCTCTCACACCTGGACCCGAAGAACAGGAACACATATGTGAGAATGCTGTTCATTGACTACAGTTCAGCATTCAACACCATTGTGCCCTCCAAGCTGGCCATCAAGCTCAGAGACCTCGGGCTCAACAGCGCCCTCTGCGACTGGATCCTGAACTTCCTGACGGGCAGACCCCAGGCAGTGCGGGTGGGAAACATCACATCCTCCACCCTGATTCTTAACACCGGTGCCCCTCAAGGCTGCGTGCTCAGCCCTCTCCTCTACTCCCTGTTCACCCACGACTGCGTGGCCACACACAGCTCCAACACCATCGTGAAGTTTGCTGATGACACGACTGTCATCGGCCAGATCACAGACGATGACGAGACGGCGTACAGAGAGGAGGTCGAAAACCTGACATCTTGGTGCCAGGAGAACAACCTCCATCTCAACATCAGCAAAACAAAGGAGCTGATTGTGGATTACAGGAAGCAGCAGGGAGAGGGACACGCCCCCATCGCCATCAATGGGACTACGGTGGAGAGAGTCAGCAGCTTCAGGTTCCTTGGGGTCCACATCACTGAGGACCTGACATGGTCTCTTCACACCACCACCATCACCAAGAAAGCTCGACAGCGGCTCTTCTTCCTCCGCAGGCTGAGGAGGTTCAAAATGGATTCCAGGATACTCTGCAACTTCTACAGGTGCACGATAGAGAGTATCCTCACTGGCAGCATGACGGCCTGGTACGGCAGCTGCACCGACCTCGATCGTAAGGCTTTACAGAGGGTGGTGAAAACTGCACAGCACATCACCAGGACGGAGCTGCCATCCATGGAGGACCTTTACTCCCAGCGGCTCAGGAAGAAATCACTACGGATTATCAAAGACCCCCATCACCCCAGCCACAAACTGTTCTTTCTGTTGCCGTCTGGCAGACGTTACCGCAGCATCCTGGCAAGGACAAGAAGATTCGGAGACAGTTTCTTCCCGCGGGCAGTGAGACTGTTCAAAAATTGAACTGTTGAAACAACTTCAAACATTCAACTGCTACTCAGTAGTATGTATCTAATACCTAATATATATATATTATTCCAATAACTTGTATATAGACTCATACTGCACTATTCCACATCATAACTTTATTTCATTTTTATAACTATTATTATTTTTGTATTGCTCTTGCTCTTATTGTTATTATGTTATGTTATTATGTTGCATTGTTGGAGAAGCCTGTGACATAAGATTTTCAACTGCATAATTACTCTGTAGCTATGTCAGATTGACAATAAAGAACCTTGAACCTTGAACCTTGAACCTGCACTTGCGTTATGTTTTTTCTCCTGTGGCTGTTTCATATTTTAAAAGGTAAAAATATGTAGTGTTAAAAAACCTAGAGTATACAAAAAAGACACTGAAATATGCCTGAACGCCGTGTAAAGCCACATTTGTATCACTATGATTTGATACATGCTCATTTGATCCTACTGTATGTTAATATAGATCATATTGATTATCACTGCTGTCACAGAGAGGCTTCACTGTGCAGACTGCATCTCCTGGCTGAGATCTCATCACATCTATAAGCTTCCTGATTGTAATGATCTCTGCGTGCAGTCACATCTCCATGATCCTCCTGCTGACTTCCTTGTCCAGAGGAGAGGCATTCAGACACACATGGTGTTAGGCGCACCAGGAGGAAACTGACACACTTCTCACCATAGTGCTGATAAAAAGAAAACCTTAAAATGTACAAATAAAACTTCTGAAAGTATGTAGGCATGTAGTTTGAAGTGCACTTGACGCAAAAGACAGGGGGGGGGAGGGGGGGGAGTGTGTGGGAGAGGAATGGGATTTTAAGTTTGAAAGTAAATGTAATGTTCCAGCAGCCTCACATTTCTGGATCAATAGCGTCTAATTGCATTAATTAGTTTTAGTCCTGTGTGCATGAGTGATTGATGACACGTCAATAACACAGAGGAGGTCTCTGTTGTTGTGCACGACTAATTCATCACATTTTAATGAGTTTCAAAGCATTTGGAGGATGTGTCAAAACAAGGACACCCTGCAGCGTGTGTGTATGTGTGTGTGTTGTTGATCCTCAGTGATCTGTTGGTTATTAATAAAAACAGATTCCAGAATAATAACTGCTATAACAGAAGAGACCGAGTGCACGGGATCAGGTGTAGGTGACAGAAGCGTTTGTTGTCACACCTAATCCAGATACAGCTTTATGATAATTGCCGTTTGATTTGCTATTATTATTAATGCGATGAGAATGGCTGTGAAATGATCACTTAGAGCGGGCCTGTGATCTGAATACACATCCTCCTAGGCTCTGATCTAACTCAATTTATTGTTGTTAATGTTTACAAATGGCTGATGGCTCCAAACACATCATGCTGATGGGAAATTACATTTCACCCAGCTGTTTAAATATCATTTTATTTGCCAGCCGCATTTCCTAATTAAACTGCAAAAAATTGATTAGGCCGATCGAGAATAACAATAATTTTTATGTCGTTTACAACGCTTCAGAACAAGGAGCTGAAGGATGTGCTGCAATAATAATAATAATAATAATAATAATAATAATAATAATACTGCATGCAACTTGAAACAACTAAAACGTGTTCAAGTAGCTAATAAGACTTACTGTTGGTCACATTTTCTGTGAACAACGTTTTTTTTCTCAAAGTTTGTGCAGTGATGGATGGTGTTGGGAGCATTAGATGATCGCGCTCGACTGTATTATGCATCATGTGCGTGATGAAGCTCAGATAGCGTTGCTCGTCTTCACTATTGTTCTTCACACTCTTCGGCCTGCGTGCATTATGCATGAGCTCAAAGGCTGCAGAAATAAATCTATTATCAGACTTTTCTTTTAGTCAGCACGGAAAAAATAAAATATTAATCTTTTTTGGCTATTTCTCTGACACATAACCCCGGAGTTAATTAATCTTACTTTTTCTCACAAATCAGAGCCGTGTATATTAAAGATATGAACATACGGGATGTAAAAGGTGCAAAACTAGAGCGGGAGAAAATGCATTTTCATGTCATTCAGTCCTCCAATGATATGAAGCACCAAAGAAGAAGAAGTGATGCAATTACAGGAAATAAAAGGGCAAAAACGAAGCAGTGATATTCATTTGACTTAATTGCATTGTTGCTTCCATGCTCAATTAATTAGACTGAAGAGGCTGATTTGAAGAATTAAGGGTAATGATTTGATTCTGTGCTCATTAATTGGTAATGATTAATAACAGCGAAAAATACCAAAACACAAAGCATGAACAATCCTCTGACCAGAGCAGCAGATTTATATTTTCCTGCTTCTCAGACTACAGGAAATACAACTCTGACTTTCTGTAGAGTTCTTCTCCTAAATGTACCAACATTTAGCATAGCATAATGCCTCGTTTTGCATATTTTAACAAAACATTTCATAAATAAAACTGGTCTTAAATGTAAATTATCAAAAGGGGAAGTTTCACTACTACTCCCTGTAGTGTCCCACTTAAATCCAACTTTTCAATACACAAGGATGCAGCTTTGATGGTGTTATAACTCTCCAAAATGGACATTTATGAAAAATAAGTGGCTATACTTTGTCAAAGGGTCAAATGTGACAAAAAAGTATTGGATGCATGTATCTTAGAGGAAACAAAAACATCCAAAATCCATATTTAGGAGTTCATTTGACTAACTTTGTCTATTTGTTTAACTAAAGTTAGCGTTACTGTAGATAATGATTTATTTGCATATTTAACATAACATAAGTTAATGTAAATACTGAACTCGTGATATCTATTCGTTACATTTTATTTATTTATTTATTCACCTGTTGTGTTCACTTTAAATCAAAATTATTTTATGCATTATAAAGATGTTATACTTCTTCAAAAGTCAATTAAATAGAAGACCTTTAGTGCAAAACAAGTGGCTAGCTTTGAGCATTATATTGATACTGCATGCTTTGTGTTTGGGCATCTGCGCTGAGTGTCTCCTCTCCACTGACCTTCACCATGATGCTTATGAGAGCACATGGCACCATGAGCAGAACCATGTTCTCGCAGAACGTGGCGGCCCACAGGGCGCCGTTCTGAATGCCCACGGCGCGCAGCACCTCCTTCAGGCGGAGCTCCTTCTCCAGCACAAGGCCTTTGATGGTCATGCACACGGTGTACATGAAGGCCAGCACTAGGAACATGGGAAGGATGCCTCCGATGCTCTGGATGAAGCTGGACAGAGCAGCAGAGAGGTCAAGCAACACGGCAATAAAAGGTTCTTTAATCTGCTGAAAATGCCTCTGTGTCTATTTTTTAAGTTTGGAAGTACGAGAGAAAGTAAGACAAAAAGCTCACGTTTTCAGATGGGGTCAAACATGTTAATTTCATAGATAAACAAAGTTACAGCTGGAATCAGACACGTTTGGTCAAAGATGGCCACCATTAATACAGGCCATACCAGAATGCCAGGTTCATATTTATGTCTCAGATGAACGTAAATGCTGAATACCAACAACAGCACAGAGACATTGCTGCATCACCTTGGGCTAACGGTGAGTTTGATGAGCTTTTTACTATTTTACAACATTTGAGGGGAAATAAAGATGAATTGATAATAAAGATAATGGCCCTAAACAAAAAGAGAATCAGCTTTTTACACGCTTACTTTATTTTAAAGGTTGTCTTTTGCAATATTACCCTGTACGTGCTCAGGTTAGGAAGAGAGAATCATTTTGTAATGTTTTCAGCGTGAGGGACGATGGAGACGATGGAGTCGTATCCGAGGACTCGCTGCCTGCGAGGCGTTTTTATCGTCACGCTGAGCTAACCTTCATAAACCCGGTGCATCAGCTCAATCAAACATTTAGTGCTGCAGCGCTGCCAGACGTGATGTATGATCGGAGGCTGTTACTACACAATGAGGCGATATTAAACCAGATTCATAATGCCACCAAAATGCCATGTCAATATCTTCTCCCCAGGCAATATAACAAAGTGCTTCCTGTGCTTTATTAGACAGTGAAGGAGAGACACCAAATAGATTTTGACAAAGTATAGATTTTTACATCTCACTGTGCTTGCATTCCATAAATACTGGCTGTGTAATGCAAGCAAAGCTCTCATACAGAGAAAACACAAAGTAAAAGGTATTTAACATCTAAGCACACGTCCAGCACATTTTCATGCAACTACTTTCTCTTTTAATTATGGCAAAGTTATTTTTTAAGGCCTTATTGTATCGTATCTTCTTTAATTGCTATTAAACTTGCAGAATTTTCTTTTTTTTTGCAGAAGTCTACGGTGGCCAACAGGTGCAAATGCGCTACAGCGGCCCCAAACATTTCCATCAGGAAAAACGCTGCAGTTTAATAAAAATGCAAATATACAAACACAAATGCGACCAAAAAACATGCAAAAGGAGACACTTCTTCACCAACATGACGAAACATAAAGGCGCGGCATAGACAAAATGCTGCAAGAAGTTCAAAACACAACGGAAAACAAGCGACACTAGAAGGGATTATAAAGTTGGCCAACTGTCACTGTTCTCATATTTGTATGGGTTTCGGCAGTACTGTATATTTGAAATGACTAGGTTAGTTTGTAGCGAGCTAGCTAACAGCAGACATGATACCTTTATTATCACTGAATCTCCACAAGCACTCCGGTCCCAGCTGTGTGCGTCACTTTTTAGTGACCCCTGGTTTCCGTTGTGTTTGCAGTGTTTTGTTTTATGCAAGCTTTTAGTAAACGCTGCGCATGTTTGGTCAAGTTTGTGCAGATGTTTCTTAATTTGCATGTGTGTTGGTACATTTGTGTTTTGGGCCAACCTAAGAGACGGTCACTTTGAATCAGTAATTTAATTTGTTTTGCCCTTTGAATTGCCTTGTGTTGAAAGGTGCTATATAAATAAACTTGCCTTGACCTAATTTATTTTCAAATATGTTTCCTTTTCAAATTGATCTTTTTATTCTCCTTCTGTGACTGCTTTTATTCTCGAGGACAATATTTCTGGAAGCCAATTCACTCATAATGATATGATGTATTATGAAAATAATGTTTTGCATGGAGAGGTTTGTCGATAACTGCAAACACACCAAACAGATGAAGTGAGTTCCAGTGAAAGCCAGAGGAAGTTCATTTCAAAGAGAGAAAGACAGACTCTTTTTGGAGGACACTTCCCCGGCCCTCGAGGGATGGATCACTTTCAAACGAGGACTTGATTAGCTGCAGGATGGCACAGAGTTTCCAGACCCAGAGCGACTAAAACCACAATCTGTTACGAGATTAGAAGAAGAAGAAAAGTGCCTCCGAGTCTGGAAACTTGAAATCAATATGATTCGGCAAATAAAGCTACATTAGCACCTCTAGTTGTGAAAGCATCAGGTTGAATGCTAATTAAGGGTTTATCTCGATAACATCTATGTAACAGCTGACAGACGATAGGTGGTGGGGGATCAGTGATGCACGGCGTGTCTGACACTGACAACCTTGCCACCAGATGCTCCTGAATTATACATCGCTGATCGATCGAGGTGCTTAAGTAATAAAAGTCCCCGCAGGTCTGTGTTAACATCGACAGCCTGACCTACATTTAGGGACGTTGGAGGACTGATTCTCAGGAAATAAAGACGAGAGAGGAGAGAGCAGACTCCCACAGGACGGAGGGCTATTCTAAAAAAAATCTCATTCTGAGCAGACGTACCAAAAATACCTGCTGGCTGCAGACGGGCACTCATTGAAGGGAGCAGACTTCATTATTCAATATGCTGCTAGAAATGATTGCTCAAGGAAAATGTGGTTAAGGGATAAAGAGTCCTTTGTTGTTTGAAACCTCATGTGTATAATAGGGAGGCAAAGTTTGGAGAAAGAGCTAAACACACATTGAACATCAGCCTTACATTAAGTGGGAAACAAAAGAATACTAAGATGAATATAAATAAGAAATAATGATGATGATGATGACTGCAATATAAGATCAAGTTAAAAACATGAAGGCATCAAGTGTAAAACAAACTGAGAAATAATTTAAATATCTTTATCCACATTTGTAATCATAGATGCACCAGAGCTTTATGGGCTTATTGATTAAACTGATAAATGAACAAAGATAAACGTCCGGCTTTTATTATCAACCTGTTGATAGGCTACACATCTTCAGCATTGTGACCATGAAGCATCCAAATAAACATGTATATCTCTTCCCTATTATTCTCTCATATCAGCATGGATAAACACTCTTTATGAAGCTGTATTTGCAGTAGATGATAAGCCTTTTTTTCCAGGGAGTGGCTACTTTCTTTCCAGGAATATTGTCCCTCCTGTGCATCACTTCTGCATGGCATGAAACAGCTGATTTGATCTTGTTATGAGCTTCAGATGTCCCAAATATGCTCCAATATGTCACCCACTCTGAGTGCAAGCAGTGCACACATGAGGTTAATTACCTTCTGATCATGGTGCACAGAATACCCCTCTCTCATCCTGAACCGAGCTCACGCCCACCGCAGCCTGCATCGTGTCTCTCTGAAAGCAGCCTCAGATCTCACACCAAGCGTCTGATGTGCAGCACAGCCTCAGTTCCTAACAAGAGATGCTCTGATTCATCCTCCGTGTGCAGGGGCCGCTGATAAAGAGCCGTTTATGAGCTGTCGGCCCTGCAGGGGTCAAGCTTTATCCCCCCCATCATTATCATCTCTGTGTTCAATGTGAGTATGAAGACCGAGGACGCTAATACCGCTTGGTTATCTGCGGCTGGAAATGCCAGCAGGGTCAGTGGTGTTGAATAAGCTCAGATTGTTCGAAGTTCATCGGGAGCAGAGAGGAGGAAATGAGCAACGCACAAAAGAGGAAATCATCTCAGAGGCGGGCGTGATGATGAGTGTCCAGGTCAGAGCAGATAGTAAGGCCTTAAAGTTTATCAGAGAGGAGGAAATATTGTTTCAGTGAGATGATAAAGGATGGAAACCTAATAACAGTTTCCTGAGCTAAATGCTAAATATTTCAACAACTGTCGAAAAACTACCTGCTGTGTCCAAAATGAATAAACTTCCTTTTGCCAAGAACTGTGACTGCAACCACATATTCATGTATCCAACTCTTCTATTAAGAGTATTTGCATGTATGATATTTCTCACATTTTTCAGATGGTAAGAACATTTTAAACTAATAAAGTAACTTGATGCTATGGTCAAGTTATACCTGAAGCACAATCTAAATTCCTTCTTCAAGGGGACATTTTCTTGTCATGCTCAGGTTCATATAAGTATTTAGTGCCTCTGCTCTGACACGTTTCCATGATATAATGTTCAAATTATAGGGGTGGGGGGGTGGAGAGAAACTCCATCTGGAGGGAACTTTGGGATTTAAGCCTTTGAAGACCATTAACATGCACACAAACCTATATACAGGGTTCCTGCAGGTTTCACCAACTCAAATGTAAGACTTTTTAAGACCACTTTGAATAGAATTTAAGACCTATTTCACGGCAAGAAAGTATGAAGGAAAATTGCGATGAAAGAAGAAATAAGTCCCATAATTACTTACAAAGTAAATGTATTCATGTTCAACATAAGAACGATGACTGAACATAACAGCATAACAGTACGCAGAACTGTGTTAGCGTGTTAGACAAAAAGTGTGTGTGTGTGTGTCTCTGTGTGTGTGTGTGTGTATGTGTAGTGCTAGATCGTATACCTCCTGGGTTTTAGGCGGCAGAAGTGACGTAATCGTGGATGAGAAGTCGGCAACTTTTGTATTAAAAGTTTAAAGTTTACCCTAAATAGAGGAGAGTTCCGCTCACTCCCGCCTTGTCACAAATATGAGGTTCATTAACGAATAATGAGATCATACTCTATAACAACATTAAAATGTGTGAAATATACTTACATTTCAATAATAATGGTTTGATTATTAAATAATAACTTACAGTTCTTATTTGTGTTGCATTTGTGGATAAAACCCAAAGAACATTTAGGATATATATATATATAAATAAATACTGGTCAGATATCCACCAGATCTTTTAGTGATTTTTGTTTCTCTTGGAGAAATTAAATTGCAACATCAAATACAAAAGTTAATCTGAAACAAACTCAAATACCATAATGAAATTAATCCACAAATGATGATTGTTATAACTTAAATGTTATACCTGGAAACACAAATACACAACAGAACATAATACATTTAATATGCTCGTCTCTTGTCCTGGGTGGCAGATTACGTCACTTCCGCCGCTGCTGCACTAGCTAACGCTGTTTTAGCAAAACAAACGCTATTTTTTTTTGCAAAAGGTGCAGCGGGCTTCAAACACGTTCCCCTCAACTGGTTTCAACCAAGCACTAAATTCGATGTTTTCCAACCAAATATGGTTGAACTTACACTTTCCCCATATTTGTTTGTAAATAGATTTGAAGATACCTGAGTTTCTGACTGTCGCTAGCTTGGTTGCTAGGTTACTAGCTGGGTGTTCTCCGATAAGGGGCCGGGGGAAACAAAGTTAGTGATTACTGGTTCCATGTTGATTTATTTCAATACAAATTGTTGGGGGGAACTGAAAGGCTATTACCGTACTGGTTACTTTGCAGCCCGGACATTTCCCCCAAAACACATTTAGACACGATCGCAACACAGAAGTACCTTTCAAATCCGATCATTTTTAAGACCTTCTAAATCATAATTAAGACCTTTCTTATTTTTTTGGTCATATTTAAGACCTTTTTAAGGCCATAAATTCAGATTATCACATTTAAGACTTTTTAAGACCCCGCGGGAACCCTGTATATAACACACTACATGAAAGGGAAAACCACAAAACACAGAATATGGCCTCTTTAAGTGGAAAATAATGACCACAGAGGTTTTCCCATCATGCCTCTTTGTGTTAGCGCATCTTTCCTTGATGTGATTCCGCTCTGTGTATTATTTATGAATGAAATAGCAATTTTAAAGTGTTAATAATTGATAGAAATGCCCAAACCGCTCTGCAGGAGAAAGACTCAATGGTGTCGCGCAACTCCAATTTATCTTCTGCAGTAATGAATCCTTTGACAATGAGCTGCACATGACGACGCAACAGATACAATGTGGGTGAGAGTACTCCCTGATTTCAAGATGGAAGGATTCATTGCTTTGGGTAATACAACGTGCCAAAACTGCTCAGATTTAAACACCTCCACTGGGTGCAATATTTAGTTTAACATCCTCCAATTAGTACTTCTGAAACTATCCTCCTACCATGCATGCCAAACCAAGTGCACACGATGAAATATGTGCATTTAACAAGGTTTAAAAAGCAGCTGCAGAATGAAGTGCAAAGCATTACATCTTTAAGCAGCAATGAAAATATATACCCGACAGAAAGTGCGCCATAGATGTGAGTTAAATAAATATTAATATTCAATTCACATCGGTTCAAATGCATCTTCAATCTGAAGTCATGTGTCTGTAGAATATGTTTATTCAAATAACCACATGATTCTGTGTGATCCAAAGCAAATCATATTTTTAAATGAGCTCCCTATAATCTCTGATTGTGCGTTTCCCCACAGGGAGAGGATATTCTGTGTCTTCTGGAAGGGGCGTGTTGTGTTGTCGGACTTAAATCTCCTTGGTAATTATCTTTTCCTCTGGATGGGCTTTCTCCTTTATTAATGGAGATCATAATGTTGTGTGTGGATGGGAGTCATTTCCACACACTGAGGAAATCTGAGGAAGATTAAGAGTGATACGCCGTTGTTTGTGTGTGTGTGTGTGTGTGTGTGTGTGTGTGTGTGTGTGTCCAACATGATATCAGAGGGGAGTCTTGCTCTCATTTTGTCTAGGATAAAATGCCGCAGAAACGGGAGGAAGCTAGGGACTCGCCGTGGTTGCGTAAATAATTCAGCATCCATCAACTATTCAGGAATTTCCTGTGGTTAGACTCAAATCAATAGTATCTCCTTCATTCCTTTCCCCTCGCTGACCCTTAATGATTCCACTCTCCTGTTACATTTTTATTACAGTGACATTATTACAGCAGTCCTCTACCTCTGCCCCTCCTCTGCGATCGGATATTAAAGAAATGTACGCCAGACAAATAAGAGGAAGTTTCCGCGGGGAAATCTGAAGGCCTAAGTGACTGATCAGACTATAACTCATGTACGTGGCGGCGGTGAGTGGCACCTCCCCGGAGAGCGCACTGTATTATTGCTGTAATACCTCCTTCCTCTGGCGCTAATCACACGGCTGTCAGATAGCGGCTCTGTACTCACACGTCATCCACGTAGCACGGGTAGGGCATCTGCTGCGCGAACACCCCAAGCGGCTGCGTGCTGTGGGTGTGCGCCCGGATGATGCCGTGGTCCATCATGTCCTGCAGGTAGGAGAAGCCTCCCCAGATGTAGCGCAGGTCGTTAAGGGGGTTGTCCCGGGCACCCGGAGACCATGACCTTATTAAAAAAGAAACACCATGATCCGTCTCGGCAAAGGGTAAACGAGAAGCAGTCAGAAACACTGCCAGGAGGTTTATAGAGGAGACATGTCACACAGGAAACTTTCAAAGACAAAAAAAACATCCAGAATTCTTCATGCTTGGGATTAAAAGGAATACTTTGAAAAGTTGCTGGTTGCTTGAAGAAATACAAAATAAAAGATTCTTAGAGTCTTACCTTTAAAATTATAGCAACAAAGTAAGTTTTTCTAAATCCACAGTTTTAGAGGATAACCCCTTAAGTGATACTGATGGCAATAAAGTACTTTAATTGATACCGTTTCTTTTCCTACTTGCATCATGTTAATGGAAGCATTCAGATGCACAAAATCAAATTGTCTTCTCGTTATACACAATTTGAAATGTGTCAAATCAGAGAGAGTAAAAAAAGAAGCAGGATTTTTCTGATACGAGAAGTTCAGTCACACACCTTTCCTTTATTTCGGTGGTGCCCTCGGTCTCGTCGATGTCCATACGGATTTTGTACTTGACGTAGGGCGGGGGGAGGCTGGCGTTGGGCTGCAGGTTCTCAAACACCAACGCGGCCCAGTACGTCTCGTTCTCCAGGAGCTCCTGCGCTCTGCTCAACAGACGGCTCTCAGTGGGGACCGCCTCAAACTTATTGAGGTCCAAACACTGCCAACAGAGGTACCACAAATGACAGATTATGCAGGTTTTATACAAATCAACAGAAAAGGGGATAAAGCAGAGTTATGCACGGACTCCCTGACAGAATGGCAGATGGATATTTAGAGAAAAGCATCACTCAGACTAACAGAGATCCAAATTATGTGGCGCTGCCAGAGGGGGGGGGGACATGTTTTGGGCTTCAGTAGAGACAACAAATGAGATACAGCCTCGATCTGCAGACTCGTCCCGGCTTCATAAAAGGATAATGAGCAAGGCATTCTGGGAGGCAGTCTCACCTGACAGCTGTCCACACAGCCCGGCCGCTGCAACAGTTTTATCATCTCTCCCCCAGGACCCCCCCCCCTCTGAGCTATATCAAGCTGCAGCGGTAAACAAAATATCACAGCAGCAGCATCCCTCAGTTATAACGGTCACACAGTTTGGACAGAGCTGAGCGAAACATATGGATCATAATCCAGGCTGCAGGAGTTGGAAAAAATAACTTGTTGGTACTTATTTTCACTGATATCGCAATTGGGATATGACAATTTTTAGCATCTTTATTGTCATAACCATTGAGAGATATTCATGGTGTCATCATGGTGTGATTATTATAGAGAATCTGTACCAAACAAAGATATGTGTCTAGTTCGTAAAAAATTACTTCTGTAGGATGGGACTTTTCTATTGAAATCAGATGTGTTAACATATGTTGCCTGTTACTAAATATTACTATAGTGCAATGCAACCTTTTTATTATGTACTGTTAAGTCTGGCGCAATGATACATTTCATAATACAGGTGTAACAATTCAATATATAAAGTCTTATTTTAGGAAAACCTTTAGTGTATTAAAACCATCACAGTCCAGTAACATGCAACACCACAGCAATACTTTTTTAATCTTTCACTAATATTTGCATGTTTTTGAGACAGATATCATAAATATAATGTCACAATACTCAAAGGAATATATATTTTCCCAAAATAAAAATAAAAGCATTAGGGCCGTGTCATCTGCATCTAGAGAAGTATGAAGATGCTGCATTTACTAACCTTTATCAATCAATCAATGTTTATTTATATAGCCCAATATTTATTTTATGTCGATTTTTCATTTTTTTAAATTAAATAAATTCCACCATCTCAGTATCTTAACCCTTGGGTGATTGTGGCTGTTACGTAGTGCGGTTGTATTTCAATCGGAGGATTTTGTTAGGGTGTCACCTTGTGTGACAGCCTCTTCCTCTGTATGAATGGGTGTGACTTGTACATTGAGGAGTCTTAAAGGCTAGTAAATGTAGGGGCAGTTCAAAGAGAAGCAGCTTGTGATATAAAAGCAGAGGATTCTTCAGCCAATCAGAACATGGACTCAGATAGTTATTAAATTGCTAGTATGTATTAATTCAAGGACACACATTTCTCATTTCAGGCACCTATTAGCAACAGGCTAACCAGTATTGAACAAGTGTAGACACAGCACGCTATCTCTAAGGAGGCATTATTTGTCAGTAAGATTAGTGATGCATAAGAAAATGTTTCATTTGCTCTCTAGCAGAAACTTGTTTATATAAGGTGTCATGGCTTAATTTGCTGAACTATATTAGTGTTTCGCACGTAACCTTTACATCAGTAGTGCTGACAGTGTGTAATATTAATCCCTGGATTGGAAGACACTCTGTATTTCTGCAGATATGTTGACTTAGAGAAGAGGAAACACACAGTACAGGCTATATAATAATGTCACCGTTCTGGAGTCAGTTCTGAGCGATGCATTTTATATAAGTGCAGAAAAGAGATTTAATTAAGTTGGAACTTCATTGGGCGAGTGTGTTCAACCCAAGCTGCCATCTTACCTGCCTGTAGATTTATATTACAGCACGTGTGTGTATATGTGTACATGCACACACAGGGAGAAGAAGGGTTTCTGTGGAGACTGTGCCAGGGATCAATACATCACTGTTGTGTGTGTGTGTGTGTGTGTGTGTGTGTGTGTGTGTGTGTGTGTGTGTGTGTGTGTGTGCGTGTGTGCGTGCGTGTGCGTGTGTGTGTGTGTTCTCCTACAGACTCACTGGAGTCAGGCACATAACAATGTATTTTTTATGATGATCATGGAAGCTGTGTTGTTGTGACAGATGTTTCGACACTTTTCCAAGTCAAGGACATTAAACTTTAATGAGAATAACACCATAGCAGGAGATAAAAAAAAAAAACCTCCATGTCTTCTGGAATCTTGATTTCAGTTTTAACAGCAACAAAAGGCACAAAAAGCTCTGCGCTAAAGACGACAAGTTGCTGGTTTAGTTGGCTCATCTGGATGCTTTTTAAATAACCCATCAACTGAGGGGAAAAAGTAGATAAATTGGGATTTAAAAACGTATTTTGCCACTAAAAGAGAGCACTATAAAAAGAGAGCACTTTAAAAAGGTTACATTAACTTATTTGTAAAGCCAAATCCAACCAGAGAACTCACCTGGGTCATTTCAGGGAGCCAGGGAAAATATGAGTCGCCAATTTCCTCACCAGGGAGAATTATATTTAAAATGTCAGAGAAAAGGCTATTTTCTCATCTCTCCGATGCAGCAGGAGCATTTAATAAAAGCACAGAAGAAGAAAAAGACTCACGCCCAGGAAGTTGGAGAGCAGCTTCAGGATGTCGGTGGTGGCGTTGTAAACGTTTCTCCAGTCGTTGGGGGGCATGCCGGGGGGGCGGTCCTCCGGGGGCCCGTTGTACAGGAAGTTGGTGAGCTGCTTGGACGTCCACCCCGTGCTGTTGAGGCGCTGATCCAACACAGCGGCAAACACCGGATTCCCCAGCAACGCCTGATGTCAAAGAGATTTTTAATTGTGGTGAGAGCACGACAAGTTGTTTCAGAAGAGGAAGCATGGAGGTCAGCTGTGACAGTCATTCTGCTGCAGCGTTAATTAGAAGCGCTGAGATAGATGACACTGTGCTACAATTATTCCAGAAGTGCTCATGTACAGAATACAGTACAAATGTACAGTATGTTCAACCTGCAGGGATATATAGAGTGAGAACATGCATGCAAATAAAGTATGTTCATGAATAGGACCACACTAACTAAATAAAGTGTACATAACAGACATGATATTGCAATATGGAGTGAAGCAATAACCAAATTGCAGTAAGCACAGTACTTAGTAAAATAAAAATATGGAAAAATAATGCAGTGGAGTCCCGGCCTAATGTTTATTTTCTATATACTATTATAAAATATCTTTGTTTTTGTACATAATTTCTTCAATAAATAACATCAAGACCATTTTGATATCTTACTCTGATATTTCAAAACATATGGCAATTGCAAAATCATTCTAAATGACTGCAAAAAGTCATTATTTTCCAAATTGTGAATGCTAGCATTTCCTGTAGTGGATATATTTACAGTGTCTGTACCTTGCCTCACATTGATTACACTACCACAGATGTTGCCAATGTGTTTATACTGTAACCTCATGCTCTTTATCTACTATTTTGACTTTCTGGTTGGATGCAAACTGCATTTCATTATACTCTGTGCAATGACAATAAGGTTGAATCTAATCTAATCTATATAAACAATTAAAGAGTGATCACTAACCTCTCATTTGATAAGTAACCTATGCCTACTGAAATATACAGTTTTTTCTATTTTCCGATATAAAGTAAAGTGCGCTGTACCTCAGCAGGGATTTCCGGCCTCTAAAGTATGAAACTCTGAGATTGAGAAATATTCTGGCCCGGATGCTCAGTGGCATTTCAGTGTCAACACTTCGGATGGCATTATGCATATCCTCAGGACTGGGTGTCAAATTAGGAAATCTCTCAGCTGCATATGACCTTTAAAAAACTTCACAGTGGAAGCTACGTTAAGGACATGACCTGTCCAAAATATGTGTGTTTAAAGGTCTTTAAATCCATTTTTTCCCTGCAATGTTACATGGATTAATCAACCTACTGTATATATAGTATTGTTTGATTTTAGACATAGAGCCTGGGGTTAAACATAAACATTGATTGAAAGGAAATAAAGCGTGCATGTAGCATTAGCCTCAGTTGCCCTTCACGAGGATTGTTCACCTGCATCCAACCAAAGCCTGCTACATGATTGGTTGATTTGACTCTGACCAAAAAAAGACAAAAAAGGATCTGAAACTCTTGTCCTGTGGCTTCCAGATTCGGCTTTTAACTTGGGGTTGCTCTATACAAAAAGTATATCTTGATTACATTTGGTAAATCATTGACTTTAAACACTTTGTGTAAATTACTTCCTACTGTAAGTGCATAACAAAGGGAAAAAGTCCCTCTCTTGCCCTCCACAGAGAGCATATACTTGCATGTAATCAACGCCTGTGATTAGTCGATATTACTCGGACTACAAATGACACTAAAATCTCGTCCTGTTACCTACAGATTCTGCTTTTTATTTGCAGATATCTTATTTTTGGAAGCTTCAGCAGAATTGTTGGGACCTGAAGAATAAAACGACCCTCCCTGCCACCAGTGTAAAAGCACCTTCGTGTGTAAACAAGATGTAAAGGCACTCTCACGTTGTCTCTGCACACAGCATGTCCTTCTCTCCGGATCTCCTCGCTCAAACACAGTGTCTGTACTGCTGATGGTAATTGGTCCATCAATGTAAAATGTGTCTGCGACCTTGAGGAACCTCGGAAGATGACAAACCTGCGGAGCCACCAGCTCGGTGCAGAGATGTGCGGCGAGAGAGGGAGCGGGGAGAAAATGAAGACAAAGGAGGATTGCAGTCCCATTTGTGTAAAGGTTAGGGCGAGGGTAATGAATACCACGCTATATGGAGCTCCAGTGTGTGCTCCCTGCAGCTGCCTATAAGCTCATTTGGAGTGACACTGGAGTAATGTGAGTGTCAAGGAAATACGGCGAGAGGAAGGAGAGGAAAGGGAGGGAAGGGGGGAAGAGTCCATGTCCTCTACTTGTGTGGATAATCCTTTCTGCCAGGGTGGAAATTATCCTGCACTTATCCATAATTACCTCCCTCCCTCCGTTTCCATTCCTAACAGAAGGTGCGACAAATTGATATACACCACATGTGCATATTCTCACCTGCAGGAGAAAAACACCAGGTCGTTTTTAAAAGAAGCTGATCTTCTAGAGTTTGTTGTGTATTTAGAAGTTCAGCTTCAGAAAACACAGTGAGGGAGGATGTTTTAGAACAGGGGTGTCAAACTCAAATACACAGTGGGCCAAAATTTAAAAATCGGTACTAGTCGAGGGCCGGACTGGTTCAATGGTTATTGCAAAACTTATTGAAATGAACTTATTGCACATATTAAACCTGGAACTAACAAAGCTTAAATGATTGCCTATAAAAACAACATTAAACATTAAATAATCAGTTGCATTCATTGCTTATGGCTCTATCTGCAGTCATTTCTATGATTACCTTTTTCCAGAGGCCAACAACAGCTTCAAAAAAACAATTTCCCTCAAAGAAAAAACCAAACATGCCCTGTTGTCCCACAAAAGTGCAAGAGGAAACATCCATTGAAAGTCAGTTTGCTGCTCTGTGATGCTAGTTCAAGCCAGATACTTGGCATCTCATCTTGGGTGCAAGTTCATCAATGTTTGGGCTCAGGCTCTGAGCTGAGGAAATCCTCAGGATTGAGTGAAGGTGTGCGTGCAATATACCGGCAGGCCAGATCTAATAGTAATTAGAAATGATCCTGTGGGCCAAAATTAAATCCACCAAGGGCCTGATTTGGCCCCCGGGCCTTGAGTTTGACACATGTGTTTTAGAAGGTGCAGTCAAGTGTAGAGGAAACAGTGCCAATGAGCCACTGAGAAACCTCTGAGTCAGTTTTAAAAAAGAGGAATTATTTTACAAATCAAAGGGGAAATTATGCATTTCTGTCATAGCTATGTAATTGTCCAATAAATAATGCCTCCTAAAACCAGATATTCTTGTTTATACACCTTTTTGTATGTAAAGAAACAACTCACTAATGATATGTTGAAGTTATTTAGTGATCCATTTCCAGTTTAATGCTAAGCTAATGATCCTACATTTCTTTTAAAACCCACTTTTTTAGGGTTTCTTTTATTTGGAGCAGAAAGTACTAGACGTAAAATGTGCATGTTACATGTTTAACATTTCAAAATGATTAAAGAAGTTAGCTCGGAGTGCTTGAAACTCTGAGCAAAAAGCAACATTTTTCCCAAAATGTCGGATTCTACGATTTGTACGGCGCAGTTTTAATAAGTTTTGATTTCTTTCCTGCAGATTCCTGCTTATTATTCTCTGAACTTGTACCTAAAAATACAGAAAATAAAAAAAGATGATTAATGTGTGCTTATGTGATTAAAGACTCACCCGTAGTGTGTTGACTTGAGAGCTGTTCTGCAGGAAGTTGTAGAGCCGGGGCCCGACTTCCTCCCAGGACTCAGCGAGCTCTCTCAGCTGGGCCAAGGCGTTGAATGTGCTGTTTGCCTGAAACAAAAAACAATATTTAACAATAAATAATCTCACCTTCCTCTGAGTGAACACACACTGAGCCTCTTCTATAGGCTGAGAGTATCATCCCTGAGGAGCTCACTGTAACAACCCCCGCCCCATGCTGAGGAATGGGCTTATTTACCCCTGAACACTGACTTGTAAACAGTGTGTGTGTGAGATGATGTGAAGGGCCCCTGCTCCAGCACCGGGCCCCTCGCTGTGAGCATTTCTCTCCTTCTCATTATGCATTCTGAAAACAAATCCTCTCCACTGCCGGGTGTTTGTTTTGCTCCTGCAGTTATCAAAATGATGCTAATATCTTGGAGGAATGTCATGTCATGCAAATGCATTATATCCAGCACACAACAGGCTCCTGACTAACTATTGCACCGCTTTATTCTTATTTATTCACATGTACCACAGGTGGTAACTGACTGTGTGACATCCAGAGTTTGTATTATCGCACAGGAGGCTCTTCACACAATTACTGATCCTGTTTACAGAAGACTATTAGATATATCAACTCAACGGGAGAATGTGTTTTAGCTTTTCTAAATGTACTAATTTGAAGCATAAGCAGCCTGTCCACATATTTATCAGGTGCGAGTAAACTGGGACTCACTCCACCATCAGCTGCTAAAAACCTTCTTTAACCGTGATATTCACAATGAATCCTTCAATCCTAAGTGATATTTCTATATTACTTTTTTGTCTGTGAACATTTAAACTTCTCATAATTAATTAAATGCTTCTTACTGTATTTATACTTCATCTCTTTATTTTGTATTTTTAATTTCAATTTGTATACGAATATGTATAATTATTGTATTGCATTTTTCTTACATTCTTATGTTTATATAATTAATTTCATTTTATTTGATCTTTTATTGCACTTTTTACTTTTTAATTTTAATAGACATTGTTTGTTTTTTTATCCTTTTATTGCACATTTTACTCTAACTTCTTATATTCATATAAATGATTGTTCTTAAATTAAGCAACTGTCATGAAACCCAATTTCCCCCTGGGATAAAAAACCCATTCAAACTCTGATAAAGTAAGTGTGCCTGTCATTCTTTCATTATGAGTAATGTCTGGTACCTCTTTCACCAGGAGGTGTGCAGCGGGGGTGTCGGGGGTGTAGAGGACCTTCCCCTGCAGCAGCGGTCTGAAGGTGCTCCAGATGAAGCGCAGGCCAGGTGTTTCTTCCAGGGTCTCGACCAGCGTCTGACAGAAAGCGTCTGCAGGAGAAGAGAGGAAGAGAAAGTCAAGACACGGAAATATGTTTCAGAATCCTGCGTGCAAACTGCGAATTTGCAGAAGAAAACATGATCAATATTAAACATGAGGCTGAAATTCATGTGAGACCCCCTTACCATACTCCTTCTGAACCTTCTGAGCAAATATGAGCATAGAAAGAAATAAAACATGCATTTAATAACTTATTTATTACTAAACCAGACATTTATTTTACATAATTTAAAGACCTCGACCTTCTGTCTCCAGAAACATAATGTTACTAATTTGTTAAATAATATCTGTATCATCAAAGTGTGCATGTTTTTCCCACATCAGAAACACATCGCATGCATAAAGAGAATATGTTTAATAACTCACATGCAAGCATATTAACCAGACTTTATAACACCAATATTTATGCATCAACAACTCTCTACTTATATTAAATTGTACTTGTATGAGTTATTGTTGGTCCTCTGGTCCTTTGCAGACCATGTACATGCACACAAACCTATTGTTCACACACTACAGGAAAGGGAAAAGCAGAAAAAGCAGAATAGGCCCCAATAACATGCCATTGCTTCTATTTTTCAAGATTTGTTCCTGGTTTATAAATGGACCTCACTCTCATGAAGTGGACAGTTGCTGCCACCTCACTGCATTTCAGTTGATTTATTTACACAACATGTGGAAACAGGCCTAGAGTTCAGAGCTGAGGACAAGAGAGAAGTCAATGTGCTCAGCAGCTTTGGATCATTACTAATTTAACATATCTGCAGTGTTAATATTGCACGGTGCGTTCAGGGGACATAATCTCTGCACTGCGAGGATGCAGCCTGCAGTACTCAAGCTTGTTGAGGATATAGGATTCCTGCAGAGCGGTACTTCATCAGACAATTGATAGGTGCAGAGAGTCGTCTGCCAGTCAATACAACCGTCTGCTTCTTATCTCACTTTGTCATGACATCAGCACTTTCTATGTTTCCCTGTTAGACCACAACCCTCCTCCTCCTCCTCCTCCTCTCCCCACAGCCTCCATCGCCCCATCAGGGAGGTTTTAGTGGTCATTTTCACTGCAATTAAATGTTAGCCTCTCTGCCTCCAGGCCATTTTCCCAGGTGCTCCTGGGAGGTGTGTGTGTGTGTGTGTGTGTGTGTGCAGCTAATGGCCGGCCCTTAGTCTTAGTGTGGCCAGCTGTTCCCTGCACACACACTACACTGATGTCACTTCCTGTAGTCAGCACGCTGCTGTTTCTTAGATCTTTTGTGTTGAAGATTCAAGAAAACGCTTTTAATTTATTAGATAGTTGTAAACTGTAGCATGCATGTCAATCTTAATTGGACCTGCAATGTGGTGTACAGATAAATTGGGAAAAACATAATTAGAGAAAAAACCTGTTTTGAGATGATGCTAGTATTTTTTAGTTTCGCTCCGGCTTTTTTTTGGAAAAATATGGGACTTTTTACAAACAGAAATTATTTGGGTTCATATTTGGAGGATTTAGGAAAAAATTACACATGAAATTAATTGGAGATCATTTTATATTATGCATTTCAAATCATAAAGTTGGGGTTTACTTCCCAAACATAGTGACATCACTGTGTAACACTTGCGCTTCTATTGGCTAGTGCATACCGTGGTAGGCTAAGATAATCATTATCGACTTTACTAGTATACATTACATTACATGTAACTTGTTAGACGCTTTTATCCAAAGCGACTTACATACTCAATACTGTGGACAATCCCCACAGGAGCAATTTGGGGTGAAGTGTCTTGCCCAGGGACACAACGACATGCTGACTGCAGTGGGGTTTGAACCTGTGACCCCCTGATCCCAACATCAAGGCTCTATCCACTGCGCCACACGCCTCCCTTATATATATGTATATGTATACAGTGGAGTGGAGTGGAGGAAATATTTGAATCAGCTCCTATATGTATTTAAACCAAAACCGTTTTTTAATCGAATCATGATATACTGAAAGATTAACAACTTAAAAAAAAGAGTGTGCTACTTTATTTAATACAAAGTATTTGATTATGAGTGATTTTTTAAGAACCAAAATGCTCAGAGATGAAAAACTCTTCTCCATGATGGAGCATGAATATAGATAACACTCAAGCACTTGTATCCTGGGAGAGATATATCAGGTTTTAATATTGTGTGTGCTAAAGGGAGCATCAGATTACAGCAGTTTGAATCTCTACGGAGACGTGACGGAGAGTTATGCCTTTTTTTTTCAAAACGAGGGAACAAGAGAATCTGTTCTGTGCAGCGGCTTTAGCCACAGTCAAATAATTGTTTGGAGCCTCGAGTCAGCCCCCTCAACTTACCTGCAAATGTAATCAATTTGAGTTGCACCCTGGAGACGGGCTCAATTCAGCATCACGGCGACACACACTCACACAGTCACATTTGCACACACACAGAAAAGGATATTACTCGAGGTTCACGATACTCATATTTCAGGTATTTCATGCAAGACAGACACACATTTATATGAGAATGACATGTCAGTCTGAATCGAAGTACCACACGAATCAAATCGAGCAATTTCCTACAAGACCTACAAATCAAGTGCTGTCGGCAGCATTCCTGAACAAAGTCAAATAAAGTTGAATAAATGTCAGCGAAGTCCCTCTCAGGAGACGGAGAGGCGCTCTGACATTTCTCTCTGCTCCACACTCAGGTATCTGCCTCAGTGTGTATTACAGGGAGTGCTTAAACCAGAAATAAAGGATACCCATTACTAATTATTTAAAGAGACGCCCGGGGGCTAATCCTCAGAGAATGACAGCACGAGTCTCGAGATAATTAGTTATGAACAATGTCAGGGAGAATCACACGGGGGAAAGTAGGACGGATGAAAGAGGAAAGCTTATTTTGACAGAACTTGATGTTTAAATCACTTTCAATCAAGAAGTCTGCAGCAAACAAAGATAACGTTTTACTTCAGTGCTACATGCATAGCTACAGCGACTTAAGTGACAACATGAGCTAACCCACTAATCTTAAGATCTAATTTCTCGGACATGTGTATAAATGTAAGTCTGTGCTGTTGCAGAGACTTGTTATTGCCGTGCACATGTGTTCAAAGTTAAAGTTCCTGCAGTGGATGAACAGTTATTTCTGTTTTTGGATAACGACGCAGACTTTGCTGTCAGCCATTAATTGGGACGGGAACATTGCTGAGCCATTAACTAAACTCAGTGTTGGCCTTTATGGTCGCTCCTCTACTATTCCTCCGAGTGTGCTTTCACACACAAAAAGCAGTTGTAATTGGCCATTATGCAGACACGCTGCATACTCCAGATTCATTTAACTGTATACAGACTGGCAGAAGGAAATGGCACGGCGTATCCACAGCAGCCATTAGCATGCTAACAGAGACGTTAGTGCTTATTCTGTACGGAGGACACAGTGTTTGTGCTAATTGTGGCTGGCACAAGCATGCAATTCCACTTTGCTGTGTTCACGTTATTCCCCGGGAATATAAGCTGCTTATTAAAATCTAATTTTGTGCAGTTGTCTCCAAAGAACAGACATTTAATGAAACAGGAACACACGGTCTCTAATGAGCTCAAGGCTGCAGGAAGATGCACTGAAGATCTGAAAATAAAAATATTTTATGGATTTTCAAAGCATCCCCACCAACACCTACAACAACTCTGATACTTTTATTTTACTCTGACTTTTTAAAATGAAATCTGCTTGACTATTTATTCCCTAGTATGTGCATTATGTGCACCAATACAGCATCAACATGAATTGTATTTATTTATATTAAACTGAATAGATTACAATTAGAGTATGTCTTGATACATGTGTTCTAAGTTTTCATTTTCATAGTAGGTTAACAACAAAAAAACATTCAATAAATTAATTTTATAAATAATAATATGTAATTAATGAACATTTATTTGAATAGAGGATACTACTTAACCTATAAATCATATATGCATTGTGCTGGCACTTTTACACCAAACTATAATTATTTAGTTTAATTGAAATGGTTGCATCCCTAATCCCATGTTTACAGGTTTATACAGTGCATCTGTTCAGGAGAATGGGAGAGAAATGGAGACAGCTGCAGGACAGTTTAAAGTATTACTGAACTTTATGCGAGTAAAATTGCTGGATGGAGTAAATACAAATTCAGAAGTCAATAAAGTGTTTTAGTGACACCATCTGTCCTCTGAGGGGAGTTTGGGTTACCATATGTTCTTATTTTCATACATAACATCCAATGGATAAGTTGTTCTGGAATACTTCAAATATATGGGGTGCCCAGCTTTTAGATGAAATGAGAGGATCTGATTTGATTGGGTGTGACTGAAGCCAGCCCAGTTAACGTGTTCCTCATCAGAGCCGGTTAGTGTGCAGCTCAGCGCCAACAGTGCCACAGGTGTGTGTGTGTGTGTGTGTTCCTGCATGACGCGTCACAGCTGACTGAGCCATGCAACACAGATTCATCAAAACACAACCCATTGTGTGTTTCCTTACCCACAAGCACACTTTTATAAGGGATTACAGGGGTCTCCATCAAATAAAATGAGTATTTTATTAAATATACAACCTATCTAACCCACAGAAATGCAGAAAAACTTTAATTTCACTTCAATATGGCGGCATATTACAGCCATTCTAGGCCAATTTAAGATTGATAGCCAGCTCGGGGGGGTTATTCCAAGAAGAAATCCCATTTTAAGTCTTCATTTTACAAGAAACAAACTTTATATATTTGAGATTGACAAGAGAGTGTGATGCAATCTTCTATATTGTAAGCACGTGGTTTCTTGACAAAACATTGTTTTCTTGTTTTACTGGTTGCAAAAACAAGTCTTGCCTACCATGACTGCATACAGAAACATGATTAAGACATGATTACAGTGTGACACTTTTATGAAGCGGTTTCCTGAAGCACTCACCAGAGCTGTTTCCCGCAGCAATGGAGACTGGCTCCTTGCTGTCCGTCAGTGGAGGTGAGCTGCGGCTCATATTGACGTCAGGCTGCTTTCCACACAGGAGCATATTGATGCTGCCCATCATGTCTGCTCGGAAATCCAATGCACTGGCAGCCTGGAAGATCATGGAGCTCTGCAGCCTAGCCACCTAGAGACAAGAGTTAGAAAGTTAGAAAATACAGGGAAAAAGCCACATCATGGTAGAGTTTAAAATATGGATTCCTGTCAGGTGTAGGGACACTTACCTCCTCAAACACTGGTAATGCATCTCGAGTGGTTTTCCCCAACAGGGAGGCGGTGTCTGCTGCATTCAGATCCAGAGCTGCAGGCACCTGAAGGAGGGAAACCACTCAATACAGGAGCTCCAAAAAGGAAATATCCAAGGCATTCAGGAATGGTTGACATTTTGAAAATGTTTCCTTTCTTATTTCCTGAGTTGTACAGCCAAGATTTACTGTTCAAATATCCACATTAATTCACGTTTTTTAATTTCCTGAGATCACCTGTGGCGTCCTAACCTTAGCCTCTCACTGGGACAGATCTAGACGGAGACATTATACGACAGCGCTAATGTGTGCATACCAAATGTAAATTGTGTTTTAACATGGTCATCCCTGGCTCTGGTTAATAAAAACTGCATTAAGTGTCGCTGTGTGTCACTGTGACATTCTGCAGGTACACAGTACGCGTCCAATTACAGGAACCGAATGGCGTGCCCTTTTAACAGCCGTCGTTTTTATGCATCAGGAAAAGGGTTGAACTAGAAGCGGATGCACTTACAGGAAATGAAATGACACTTGGAAAACACATGTAAAGAGGAGCAGAGGGTTCTCAGAAAAAGTCATCCATAAACGGAGGTATATATTTTACCGTTCAAACTCTCCTTTGCGTTTGTTTTGATAGTTGTTCGTAGTAATATTTGTTGAGTTAATAAGGAGATTAAAGCCAGACAAAGAAAACACACCTTGACATTTGATTGACCTTTCCTACCCGTGCATTGTGTTCCTGAAATGATTTCCAGAAACACAAACAGAGTCGTGGCGGTGATAAACCCTGACTTCCTCTCTTGTCCTTTCCTTTATGTTTCTGTCACTATCACAATCACTCAGCAGCGTCGGGCTTTAAGTGTGAAGCCTTGATGTTCCCTTCCATCCATTTGCACACGGCGCTGAAGAGCCTCCCCCCATATCTTGTCTGAGCATTTTTTTATTCCTCTCCGAAAATGCCTGCGGGCTTAAATTGTTCAAATGCTCTCCCCTACCAACTTCCTGCCTTATCACTTATTTATTGGATTTGCTGTCCCATATATTTCCTCTCAGAGACAAACTCAAAGAAGAGTGCAGGCTTTCATCATCCCAAAGGGAAGCCGCAGATTTAAAAGAACTCAACAAAACATTGGTACTTATAAATAATTCCCTCCTGATTGAAATCACTGGAAGAAACAGCGGTGCACGTGACAATGACAAATGTAAAAGCTATGTACAGAAAGTTATTTATCAGTCACAATGAAAATGCATTTAAGATAATGGAGCAGCAATGAAATGTAGGTTTTTTCCTGACAGGGGATGCTTAGCAGCTTTTTACTTTGAAAATATTTCTTCATGTCTCTTAAGTCACAGAGCCTGACAAGCACAATGTAACTTTAAAATTGGTTACTCAATTGTCTGGCACAGAAAATCATTGTCTTTGAAATTCAATTTACTGCAGGCCAAGCGAGACGTATACTTAGAACAGACAACGTTCCCCAAATAATTGTAAACTGTATTAAGCTGCGGAGTCTCATTTTACAGGACGTAACTGATGGAATATCCATGCTGGAAATTACCTCTGTGCAGCCGTGTTTACTCCTATTACTCATCTCTCAATTTAGAATATATCTCATAACTCCGGCAGAGAGATCAGTGCATATTGTAGCAAACAAATATTACAGACAATATCACAGTGAATCATTTAAGACCTTTCTATCAATGTAAAGGCAGACTGGCTAGCTGAAGCTTGAAGATTCAAATGTTTTGATCAACCCTGAACAAAGGTCATGATAGTTTAGGAATAAAACTGCATCACAAATAACAGTAAAAAGGTATAATAGTGGTTTTCAAAACACGTCACACGTGCTTCTATTGGATAGCTTAGAGTTTAGCTCATTTGAACCCAATGCACAAGCACTTTGTTTATTTGAGTTTTGAGTTGTTATCTTTATGGTTTATTGTATTTATTGAAAGTCGCTTCGGATAAAAGCGATTGTGAAATGGAATGGAAGCTGACAGTGGATCATGAGGCTAGATATACTGTATATTAGATGTGGGTGACCTTGCTGAGCAGGAATTAGGTCTTTCCAAGTGCAGACATTGAGGCCGGAATTGTGAACAGTGTCCCCAATTAATGTTAACACCGCTCCCAAATGAATTCACTCTCCAAAAAAGGAGACTAATTGTGTCCCGGTCACTATTAAAGCTCCTCCAGATCTCAGAGCTGTGACTTGTTGATGTGTTCTCACCTCTGAGAAAACTTTCCTCCCGTCCAGGTTTGTCAGCAGAACTCTCTGAGCGTTGAGCAGCTGCTGAGGATCGAGGAAGCAGCTGACATTTTGGAAAGTCTCCTTCTCTGACGCGGTGCTAAACTGGATGTACTCGTCTAGATCTGTCCCCTCACACAGGACGCTCTGCAGGTCGCCGGGCCGCGGGGTGCTCATCATCTGAAAAATAAATACAAAATCTCAGAACTTAGCATTGGATCATATTCTATTTAATCATGTGTTGTGTCCTAGCATGCAAGATAGAATATAAATCAATCTTTTGACTTTATCAGCCTCTAATAAATACTGACATACAAGACAAACTTTTAGAACGACACACACAGACGAGGAACTTTTACTTCCCGTGCACACGCTACATCTTGAAGCAGCATGGATCTTTTCATCAGTGCACATTGTATTTGAGCATCCTTATCGATGTCAGAGAAACATAATTACCTTCCTGCAGCTCATCTGATATCACTCTGTACATACCCTGCATCAATTGGGGAGCGTTAAGAGACAAGACACTCTTATTGCTGTTAAGACTTCATTTCATTCCAAATTACCTACTGAAGTCATCTTCAAACAACCTTTTTTTATCAAGCAGAAGCTCCAGTCTGCTTTGATTATAACCCGTCAAGACAAGCAGTCCCACAGGCAGCGCTTCTTGGCCGGGACGTTTTAAACGCTCAAACACAAATCTCCTGGCACATTTGGGCTTTTGAACATTTTGGTAAATGATGTTATTTACGCGAGGAGGTGGCAAATCATGTTTCAAAGCAGCTGGGATTCTTATCGGAGGCTGTTTGCAGGCAGTGTAACGAGATGATACTCACTGGGTTGAGTTTAATCTGAGCGTTCAGGAGGCTTTGGACGACTGATGGAGGCACCGACAAGTCCTCTTCCAGATGAGCGGAGAAGGTTTCATTGTCTCTGAGAAGACTCTTCAGGATCACTGGCCGAGCTGAAACAAAGATGGAGAATTGTGACTTTTACAGAAATGCACTTTCTGAAACAACAGCAGTGTTCTTGTTTTTTCTTAAATTTTGACTGTATGATATACTATGCATTTCTTTATTAAATACATGTAAACATATTTTTAATTGCCGTTAAGTTGATGCTGTACGGTTAAAATGTGCTGCCATTTGTGTGTCACATGAAATAGCTTGTTCTCAATTAACTCAGGGTACACGGATTTGAGTCCTAGCAGAAGTTAAAAAGTGTTATATTTCAGAGTTTTTTTAAACACAGCATTATTTTGATAGTTGCATCCATGTTTTAGCTCCTCACTCGCCATCTGGACTGCAGATATTCTGCAGCCTGCAGCCTTTATGTCTCTGCCTCCCTTCTTTGTCTATTCTCCTGCATTTGACTTCCACAATACTGTTCACAAATAAGCATGTGTGTGTCATTTGCCTTAATGGACATCTGTCAACGATGGAAGAGAGAGTGTCTGTGGAGCTAATAGGACGGCAGGATTTATTCTGAAATGAAAACATTAAAAGTCTGTGTCTTCAGGATCACTGCAGTGCAGCTGCCCAGCAATGTTATCCTAACTGAAAGAAACAAAGGCCAAACTCATGGAAATGAACACTCTTCATGCATGCACGTTATGGAAATATAGTGTTTTGTTTTACATGTTGCTTTGCAGTCGCATGCAATTGAGTTTGAATGATGCTTTCTGTTAATTAAATCCTTGGTTGGTGAAATACTGTTGAATACTCGAGCTGAACGAGAGTAAGAGAAGACAATTTGCTGCTAAACATGCTGCTGATTGTTAAACACACATGTTCTCCTGATTAGCTGCACACGTATAGACTGCTCATTGAGAAGTGCACGCTCTGCATCTCCTCAACATGTGTGTTCTGCTCTCCGAGACTCACAAAGAGATGCTGGAGGGGTTACATAATTGAATTAGATCAGCACTTTTGCAAGTGTAACACATGCAAGGTAGTCAATTATCAGGATGTGGGAGGATGTGATACTGGGTGACTCAGAGTTCAATGAGGATACATGTTTGTTAAAAACAACAATCATTCAGCATTGTGTGGAATGAATGATGTGGTTTGTGTTATAATAGCCTTAAAGCAGCAGGAGCATGAGGTGAGATCCGGCAGGAGGAACATGCTGTTTCTGATTGAAGTGACCACCTCAGTCTTTCAATCAACCTTTGGTAAAAATAAAAAAGGGACGACAACATCACCTCTAGCTTCAGTTTTTTTGATAGCACTCAGTCTCATTCTTGTTAATGACCTTTCTGCTCTCAGCCAATCCCGTTAATTATGCCCGTGCTCAGATCTCTGATGGATTTAATCTTGTATATTACAAGCCGGCGACCCCGAAATGCAAATGGCCCCCGAGCCGTTTGTTGAACAGCAGTCCCCCTCCCGCCTTTGTGTTTTTGCAAATGAGGTGGCGTATGAAAATCTGAATATCATCAGGCTAAATGAGCCTAATGCAAAGCAGCAACTTATCAAGACAAACGATGTGTCAGTCTGCAAGGCAAATTGCATCATAAATAATCACGCGCCATTGTTTTTGAGGGATAAAGGGGAATAACAAATCCTGAGACTTGTCATCACCATGAAGGGGATACTTTCCCTGATGGAGAGGACGTAACAAAGACGCAGCACACAGATTGTTGCTGAGGAAGAGTATTTTTAAACATAGTATTTTTTCTTACAGTGGCAATAAAACTTGTACATGAAGAAGAGTCATTTCCATGATTGTGTTTGAGTGCTGCCAATAAGGATTACCTCAAAGTCTAACGGGGTGTTTTGTCCCCTGGATTATATACATGGTTTTATATGTGTACAATTATCATAAAACGTTTGCAAATGTAAGGCCTTTGTAAGATTATCTAAATGGAAATCTTGGACTTTGTGATGGCTACAGACATGCGTTTCCGTGGTCGTTTGGGAAGGTTACTTCCTGGTACAGCAAAAGGCGTGGCTGAGGGCTGAGGACTCCTATATACTCGATCCAATTTGGGACAAACCATGTGCTTCCAATCCTTTTGTATTCTGTTCCTCTTAACTACCTATTTTCTTCTACTTGGTTTGGCTTAGCCACTATACATATTCCATTTTGCGTCATTCTGGCAGGTCGGTTTGTTCAGTCAACACCTGTTTAATCGCTGTTATATTTCTTAGTGTTTTTTTCTGATGACCTCTTTTATAGGCCTATGATTCTTGTTTTTAATTGGTACAAATAAAAAACCCATTTCCTTTAAACAACTCCTGTGTCCTGTATGCCTACTGCAAATGTAAGTCCTTTCATCAGTGGGTTAAAGGCTCAGTCACCATTGTATTTCCATTTGTGGCGGAAGTGATTTAAAATACTTGTTCATTTTAATATACTTTGCACATTTCTCGTCAAAGCTACCTCTTTATAAATCTGCACAGCTATCCACTTTCGAACCCAATACTGCACACAATTGTTTTCCATTTATTTTGTCATATTTTACCATTTATTTTCTCTTTCTGTGTCTATGTATGCATTATGCACACCAAAGCACATCCCTGTACTGTATGTGAATCCCATATGGGAATAAACCTGTCTCTGATTATGACTTATACTCTAACCTAGTTTTTTTCATATAGAGTGCCATTGTAAGGTCTCTACATTAAGACCTTGGTGTTCTTACCCTTGGCAGCGTTGGTCTGGGACAGGACGGAGTCCCACTGCTCCAGGTCGTCTGCCAGCAGCAGAGCCTTGCTGAGAATAGATCTGTTCACCACCAGCGTCTGCAGCTCCACTAACATCCCAGCAACTCTGCATAAAACACCAGAAACTGATCAGAAACAACAACCATCATATTCTGTTTGCTCCTCATGTGCAGCTTGTGCGTACATGGAGTTGTTGAAGTTGTTGACTTGTCCCGGTGTCTCCCCCGGGGTGGGGGAGTTCAGACAGGGGTTGTTGATGTTGCACATCATCCCCTGCAGCCAGGGCAGCACGCCGGCCGAGGGCATGGCTTTGTTTGGGTAGTGACCTGCAGGAAGACATGGTTTGTATTATTATATTCTCCTGAATATCACAAATTCACAATATGGACTAGTGCAATATTCCAATATGCCCAGTATTTGTTAAAGGCTAATGATGTGTTTCAATATCATTTTGAAGTAGTTATGTGAAGCTGCAGAGAAATTGTTTTTGTACAGACTTAGACACATATTTTATTTGTACAGATCCCCTCAAAAGAAAATTATGATTAAAAATGTATCAATCCCTTGAATATTATGAATCACATCAATTTGCAAAGTCATTAGTAATAACATAGTAATACAAGCATTAGCTTTGAGTTATTATGCAAGCACACATCCCAACTAAGAGGTTTTGCATACTTACATTGTCCTTTAAACACAGGCTTGTTGGTGGAGCGCACCCCAACCAGGATGAAGAAGAGGAAAAGAGGCCAGATCACTTCCACCACCAGACGCACCTGCATGCATGAGAATAGAGAAAAGCGCTCTTATTTTCATAATTTGTTTATGGAATACATGAGTGGAACATATCATGGCTCACAGCATTTGCATTGTATATTCCTAAAAATGCGACATCATGCAGCAGCGTGACAAACACTGATAAAGTCAAAGCAAAGGAGATTGGACCATGAGTGTTAGACGCTGTGTATCCATGAGATTTTGCTGCACAAGCTCTATTCTATATGTTTTTACTCCAGCTCTTCCTGGATTGATTGAGAAACTGTCAGTGTCTCCGGCAGCAGAAGCTATCACATCTAATCTTCTCCCGGATGAAGAGCACATAGCACCTCTTCTTCACTTTAACACAACCACTTCCACACCTTTAGGCAGCATGTGACATGGTAGCTTTGTATTTCCTCCTCAGGGGAAATGTGTGAAGAGAAAGCACAATTTAATGACCTCTTTGTTGAAATCCTGCAGCTTTGATGGATGCTCTGGAGACAAAGCACCAAGAGTTGGGAGGGTTAAGCATTTATTTGAATCAGGTATTCCAGGTTCACTGGACTACTTATCCGTCACTGTGGAAACAGTTTCTTTATGCAAGAGTCGAGGGCAAACTAGCAATTGTACATTTCATAATTCAGTGGGAGAAAATATCTAGCAGGAGGACAAAGCTGCAGCTACTCCTGCCTTCACTTTTTGTAACCTTTCAGACTTTTATGCCCCCCCGACACCTCCCTACAAGTCAAGCACGCTAACCTGGGCTGACCGTCTCCTCGTGCACGCTCTCTACAATCCCCTGCGCCGTCCTGTCCAGCAGGAAGCAGCTACACTGTCTTCATAATTAAAGAGGAGGTGAGAAAATACAATAACACGTATGGCTTAAAATACTACAGCTCCATGGCAACGTTATAAATTACAGTTACTGCAGCACAAGAGGGATTTTATTCAGTTTAACGTGCATTAAGCCTTAGTATTAAAATGGTGTCATTGCATTCCAACTGCAAAAAATTACTTTTCAACTATTTCAAAGAAAGCAGATAGAGAATTTCAAATTGCAAGTCCTTTAATTCCCTGCAGTGTGTGTGTGTGTGTGTGTGTGTGTGTGTGTGTGTGTGTGTGTGTGTGTGTGTGTGTGTGTGTGTGTGTGTGTGTGTGTGCGTGCGTGTGCGTGCGTGTGCGTGTGCGTGTTCGTGTGTGTGAGGATATGTAGTTCTGCTGAGGGTGAATTATCATAATGTATTCCATGGGAAAGGCATGGAGAGGGAACACAGCGATCATGGGGACTTTCTCAGACTGCCTCCCCAGGCGTCTGCCATCGGACACAAGCTTCCTTTATGAATAGATAATCTCCTCCTATGAAATTATGTGAAATACTGGACCATAAAATCAGTTTCATGCCTGTTATAAAATCTTAAAATGCCTGCTGAGGCATTCATATAATTGGTCATTAACCTCCACAAGCCCTCCACAAGCTCCATTGTCCTTGTAACTCCCACTGGTTTTGTCTAATACCGATATTTCATGTCGACGTCGTCCAAATATTCTACATTCAGAGCACATTAACTCCACTGTCCTCTCACATAGTCTCCCTGTTCCTTCTGCTAGTTGATCAAATTAACAAGGAGAATATTTCCCAGATACAAAGTTCTGAAATAGCAAAAGACTTTGCACTGAGTCCTTCCTAGAAACTTTGATGAAAGCAGATTTTGTTGTGAAGGTGTCTTTTGTTCGCTGCCAGTGGGCGGATGCTCCTGCTGTAAATCAAACACACACTGCAGCTCTTTGTAGCAGACACACACATAACGAGACTCAGCGACAACTTGTTGAAATGCAGCAGTGACACATCTTCCCCAGCATGGGACCTCATGTCCAGCGTGAGTGGGGGGGCAAAGATTGCAATAAAGCCATATATATCACCATATTGTGTATCACCAGCAATGGATTATGGGAGACTTGAGCTCAAAAGCAGAGTTAGGATATCATTTGCAAAGTTTTCTCTTTCCATCAATGACGTTTGCATAGGCTTGCATTCATAAAAAGGCACTGCTAGTATTAATGTTTAAGCTTTAAAAGTAAATTGACATAGTTTAAAAGTGTTTTAGAAAATCCATGATATTATCTACAATTATATACAGCATGTTGTATACATTTATACTCCAACTTCCTTTGTTTATATTAATATTTTCATTCTTATTGTCATCTTTTATTGCACATTTTGATTTCAACTTCTTATGCTTACATAATTATTTCATTATATTTTATTGCAGACTTACTTTAACTTCTTATTTGAATGTCTTAATTATATATTGTATGTTATTAGTTAATCTTTTGAATGCACACTTTTAACCTTAACTTCTTATATTTAAATACTTTTTCATTTGAAGCATTTACTAAGTTTTCTGATGCTTAAATAAAAAAAGTCCCAAATAATCCAAAGATGAGACGCTAACCTGAACTATAAGAGGCTAAGTGTGCATAACTAAAATGTGTAAGTGCTTGCTTAGGCTGCAGATATTGTAAACCTGAAATATTATAAATATAAATACAGTTAAAGCACTTAACACAGTGGAAGGCAGTCAGATTGACTTTTGTATGCACATAAAGCTGGTGAAGCAAGAGCACTGAAAGCAGTGAAAATGATGGTAAGAAAAAGTTTATCTGAAGTTTAGTGGTGGGATAGTTGATGTTTGCACTGTCAGTGTCAGTTTGTGTGTGAGGTATACACAAGTGTCACTCACAACTGTGTAAAAATCACAGGTGCAAATTTGATATGATAGGAATCCTTGAAGCACTTCAAGACAATTGAATTAACAGTTTGCATGTTAGCCATTTAAGTTGTTGGAGCAACATATGCACTAAACAAGTTTAAATGATGAAAGCTGAACAGAAAGTGAGTTCAAGGTTCAAGGTTCTTTATTGTCAAACTGACATAGCTACAGAGTAATTATGTCGTTGAAAATCTTATGTCACAGGCTTCTCCAACAATGCAACAGAGTTGAAGTTTGCACCATCAGTGTCAGTTGAATAATCTTTTAATTGTCTGCTATGATTTTTGTAAACTCTGCACATTCAGCAAACATTTCTGAGTTGTGGCAGTGCCATGGAGTTTGTAAGAGGAGACAGTGTTTGCCCTTCAAACAAAGCGTTTCAACATCTGTCATCCCTCCCTATTCCTTCTATTAGTCCACACTGGCTCTGTTGGAGCAGGAAGTCAGGCCATGTGACATAATGTGCAGCAGAGACAGATCTGCTCAAATTGAAGGTGACACGTGGAATTGGTGTGCATTAAGGAGAGATTGTTCTCTGAAGGCAGCTTACTGCTATAGGAGGCTGTTTTGTAGTAAATCCCTGCACTCATGAATAACTTGATAACACTGACCACACTGAGCAGACATATATATATTTATATATCAATACACACACACACACATTGATTTGCAGAGCGTACCTTTTGTCTCTTCCGCAGAGTGAAGTTCTTCCACAGCAGCAGAGTGAACTGCGTCAGGAGACCCATTACAGCTTATCCTGGCAATATCCTGCCAAAGCGTCGCTATGGCAACTGGCCCACTTAATAAACCCTGCAGGGAATAAAAGGCAGAGTTTGGTTTTTTAATACAGAAGGAGCAATGCATCTTGGGGGAGTGCCACTAATCATTCACTTCCCTGGGCCTCGGGGCTCTCGGTGCAGCACCTGTTCCAAGAATTATTATCACCTCCACTCAGCGAGGCTCATGCGCACGCTCCCTGTGTGCACCTATTAAAGAGCGCTTGCTTGTTTTACTTAATGTACTGCATATTACATTATTAGGCCAAAAACTAAATATATATAATTTTCCTCTTAAAGGGGCGTCACGCACTACACATCCTCTTTTAATTAATCAGCCTTTTTGTGGTGATAGAGTAAAGCAAAAGACAGACCTCACTGTTCATATGGACCAGAGATAGTTGTAAAATCTTTATTGCAGATTTTATAAGCCACTGAGCACTGATTACACAGACAATAAACAAATAGATCTGCTGTGGCACTTTTACACTGCTACATCAAGTATGACCTTTATTAAAAACTGACTCTGAATACAGTTAGTGAGCTCTGTTCATTACTGCGTTACTGAGTCTTAGCGAGTTTCAAGAGATGAAGTGTCCTCTCTCTCTCTGTGAATTACCCACTATGGTTGTAATCATTGATGTGTTCATCAGATTCATGCAACTTTAGACAACGTAGTATAACAAAAGACAAAAAATAGACCATAAAAGTGCATTTTCTAAAAGCTAAAATAATAATTCAGATAGTTAGGGGTTAGTTTGGTTAAATGGTGAGTTCACATCGGACGCAAAGAGTTATTCGCGCAGCTCGATTACATGTAAAGTTAAAGGGGCCCTATTCTGCTCATGTTCAAGTTGATATTAGTATTTAGTGCCTCTACTGTGACATGTCTTCATGCTTTAATGTTCAGAAAGCTAGTTATTTTTCGCATACTTCCTGTGCTGCAGCACCTTGTTCACCCTCTGTCTGAAACCAGATCCTATTCTGTTTAGCCTGCAGACCCACTTGGAAAAGCGTTAATTCATGGCTTTTCCAATCTGTATTGGTATGATGTTAATTCAGCATCATTATTGATACGTGCATTACAATTAAATCTTGGCAAAATGTTAACTTTGTTGGTTGTTGATATCTCGCCAGTGTGTCTAATTCAAGTGACGTGAGTAAACACGTGAAAGTGAATGCTGCGGAAAAACTTGTGATAGTAAGAGTGTAAACGCAATAGGAATAACTGCAGCAATGGTTATTACTTATGACAAGGAGGTTATGTTGTGCAATGTGTTTGTTTATCTGCCAGAACACACACATCTATTCCCACGAATGCACACAGCCTTGGCCGAGGTCTGCTCTCTGAGTGTCCTTCTACTTTCCATTAACAGGATATATTTATTATATGGTATGTTATTACCTTCAGAAAACGAGCCACACTATATATTATGCAAATAAACATGGTAATGTATTATATATGTTGTTAACTGTAAGTGTATTTCAAATGTCTCTGCTAAATTATATTTTTAGAGTCATGCATGCACGGGTATTTTTTGAAAATGGGTTTCTAAATCATTAGAAAACACAAAAATGGTTTATACTTAAATCACACTGGACCATGAGCAGCTAAACACTCAAACTGTGCCCTTCAGCATTCCTTTCTTCTTTAATACCAATACACCACTGCATATATTGTAGAACACATTTTTCACTTAACTTCCTATATTTATCAACAATATTTTTATTCTATTCAGTTTTGATTCATACAATTTCACACTTTTCCTTTAACTTTCGATTTTTAAATACATTTTTTTCAATTTTTTATTGTGAAATGGAGCAACTGTCACAAAAAAGGGATACATTTTTAAAAATTACAGGTTAAATATCATAAAAATGTATGTAACAAAATGTAATGCATGTATGTTGTAAAACAAATTGTTTTGCCTATTTGTACAGCAGCCATTTAAATATAAACATGCTAAATGATACTCCAATAGTACGACTGACAACATACAAATGCAAGGAGGTTGTTTAAATGTTCAAAACAAGACAAAGTAATAATTGTTAATATAAAGGTGTGTTACCTAGCTATGTTTAAACACACGTGTGTGTGTGTGTGTGTGTGTGTGTGTGTGTGTGTGTGTGTGTGTGTGTGTGTGTGTGTGTGTGTGTGTGCGGGGGGGGTCTCAGATGAGCTTTTTAGCCCCAGGGCCGTCCTGACAAATGTGCCACCTTTTACCGCTCCATTTCCTCTTCCTGCACATCTCCCCTCTGTGTCTTTACATTATTTACTGCTTCTCCATGGATGCTTTATTTACTGTCATGGGAAAGTTGAGCTAACTGCACTTACAAACTGAAAAATAAGCGCTTTAATAGACGCTCAAGACAATTTAAATATCTATAAGAGAATATTTTTTAGATGAAACTAGGTCTCTCACTATCCTTACTGTACATCTGTTTGACGATCTATGTCACAAACATAACTACGCCCAAAAGTATTACTCTTATATTAAGAGCATTTTAAACCACTGTGTGCTGGGACAGGAGGGCTTGTTGACGTTAGGGGATTATAAATTATATAATATACGTTTTATTGGCTTATTTTAACAACGTGATGTAAGGATTCTTTCCAATATTACTAGGTTAGCGAGGTTAGCAGATCTGTGATATCGGACTTACAAACACTGCAGTCTATGTGCAATGCCCAAGACCTAGAGAAAACCCTGTTCTTTATTCTGGAAAAATGTTAGTGACATATTTGTCTAAACGCAACAGTTAAATCAATAAGATAAGTAGTTCATGTTACTATAATGGCAAGTATAGATTTTCCCGAATACACTTTTTTGGTTTTAAAGCAATACAAATATCATAATGCTGTTTAGTCATACTGCTTTGAATCCTCTGCTGTGAATACATGCTATAGGTTGAATGTGTTATAATAATAGCTCCTGCACAAGTTTTTCTTGTAGTACTCTCTCCACTATTCACGGCTCTCAAGACTTCTGGACGGAGATGGTTGTTATGGAGTTGTACAAGGGGAAAATGGGCTTTACAAAGAGGCCTTCTACACGCTCGAACGCTCGACTCCATCAGACGCGTGTATAATTGAGTGTGTGCTACATTGCCGTGCACAGCTTTCAAGCCTCATCTTTTGAAACATGTAACGTGCAGAGAAGGACAGCTCGGAACCACCTCCACTCTGAAAAATGTCGAGCATGAAGGGTAAACAACATCTCCCAGAATATACTCCACCCATACGTCAAGAAATGTTTTTATCTGAGAAATATGTGTGTGGGCGAGTTCTGTGGAAAAGCCTAGCTCAAGGACTCTTTTTCAATTCCACATCTAAAGAGGAGATAACAAGCAACAAGAGAGGGGCTGATTGTGATTTGCATTGCAGCCGCGCTGTTACCAAACACCATGAACACAGTTCTCTAGAGAACAAACACTGTGGAGAGTGTTTTCCAAATCAAAGTTTTAATCTACAACTAGGTGAATAATCAAAACAGGTTCTTTTCGCCACTTTATAAAACTTGTTTTTCACAAAAGTGTTGACATCAGGCTGGAATCAGCTTTCTCAGTATTATCGAGATAGTGTCTTGATACCAAAAAGCTAAATATTGAGAGGATATAAGTTAGGGCTGTGCAATTAATCGTATTTTAATCGCAATTACGATTTTGGCCTGCCACAATTACGAAAACAACATAATCGAAAAAAACAATTATTTTGCTTTGCTAGGTTGTGACAGTGCACTGCAACATATTTGATCTAATTTATTTTGGTCTCATTTATTTGTATTTATATATGTTTAGTAGCTTGGGGAAGTGCGCTCCAAAATATTTGTTGATCTTGTTTATTGGTATTTATTATTTTGATATTATTTATTTAAATGTATAATTTATTTTATTTATTTTTGTATTGGTTTTTCAGTTGAATTATACGTTCAGGGTAATCAACAGTTAAAAAGTTACTGTTCAAATTATTATTTGTATTTGTTTTAAAGTTCAATAAATGGATTTTTTCAAAATCAATGAATAATCGTATTTAATAATCGTGATATCAATTATTGACCCAAATAATCGTGATTATGATTTTTGCCATAATCGCACAGCCCTAATATAAGTGCTGAAGCATGGGAATTGTTTGGTGACCAGGGAAAGCAAAGTGCATTATTTCAGCGTACAAGAGTACAGATATTTGTCAGCAGCATGAGGGCCAATACAGCCCTCTTAAGGCCAAAATGGCTGCAGTTCCACTTCCTTTTTCTTTCATCTTCTAACCAACTTATTACAATGGAGTATTTTTCCCTGATCATGCTGCTGATTTAATTGCTGAACAATTTAATCAGCAGCATGTTCCCTGATCGTGCTGCGTTAGCTCTTTGTGAAACAATAAGGTGAACTGATTAAACACTCTAATAAAAAGACATTAAGAGGACTGAGCTATTTCTGAAATATTGTGTATAATACAAAAGAAACAATACCTGTAGCTCTGGCTGAAGTTGGACCATAGCATTAAATGTGTTGCTTTGAACAACGATAACAGTTCCTTTTTTCTATTGAACTCACAATGGTGGGTGAAGGTAATGTAGCATACAGTAAGATAATTTCTCCAGTCTTTAACACTGGGGAAGTAACTCAGTCTCAATGCTTCCTAATCCCATTCATTGCTACAATCTAATATCATGACATTTATATAAAGATACTTTTATTTATTTTTTAAAACATATTCAGAAAACCATTGACCTCCAGGCGAGAGAAAAGGAAGTGATACAATTTTGAGTCATATCACTGTTTTAGGATTTGAAATTACGGGTCATGACCAGTGGCGTTTTTATATGTACAAAAGTGGTGGGGCACAAAAAACGTAGATGTCTATATATAAGCTTCTGCAGTGACGTGCAGTGAGGTTCATGGCTGGTGAGGCACTGGCACTGACTCTTCAGGTTTACAAATATTATATTTTGACCTAAACCAAAATATAATATTATTTTCAAAAGCTTTTTTTGTCTGATGCTTCGATTAATTTTAAACAGACAGTTCAACAAAAGGATACCCAAAAAATGTCATTTTATCATTTAAATATTGAATTGTTCTCTCTTAGTAAGATCCCATTTTCAATAAAATGGCGGTCTTACCTTGACTTGAAGATGAAGTCCATTTTCCTATCCTTCTGGACAAACATTTCTATTACTTTTTTGTAAAAGTCCTCCTTATGTTCTTGTAGTTTCAAAAGTCTATCATAAATCTAATCCATAGATTTATGATAAAAAAATTATATAAGTAGGGTAGACATGTGGATGTTATCCGGCTAATCAAAACGTGCATTTATCTAACAGGTACGTTTCCCACAGATCTTATTTCGAGCTATTTTCTAAAATCCTCTGGAGAAATCTCATTGCTTTTTTTGTGCTTACTTCCTGGTTTTAGGACGCGCCACTGCAGCTCTCTCGTCTCCTCTTCACACAGCACACTTTTCGCGGCACACGTACTTACAGCCAATCAGCTCTGAATGATTTGAGATGACGTATGGTGGGGATGGTAGCTCCATGCCCCTCTGGTCATTATTTTTTTGCCACACACATTTCATTACAAAATACTCTGAGCATGCGCAGTGAAGTTTTTACAGTCACCGTTGACTTCACAGCGAGAGGAAGGGGCATAATCAGGTTTTGTCCCACATGGCTCTAAACAGCTCAATAGGCACACACTGTGACTGTAGACACATTAATTAGAAGAACACAGACTAAAACAGCAATGTACAGACGAATCAGATGATTAAACATGATCTTAAAATATATTTTATATATTTTTTTTTTTTTTTTTTTGCATTTTTGTAATCATTATTTGTAATACTTTCTGCTGACACTAGGTGGGGCTGTGCCCCACCTGCCCCTAATGACCAGTCGCCACTGGTCATGACACAGTTTTAGGACTCATAAAGCTAACTCATATTAGGGTTTTAGGACTCATAATGCTGAGTCATGTCAGGGTTTTAGGACTCATAATGCTGAGTCATGTCAGGGTTTTAGGACTCATAATGCCAAGTCATGTCAGGGTTTTAGGACTCATAATGCTGAGTCATGTCAGGGTTTACAGTCATTCCTGCAGCCCTCTATTGGCTCACGCCCTTACACTGAATTTACTGCGAGTGTTGAGTCCCTAAAGGCTCAGCCTTGTTCATGATACAGTATGCTTTTTACATATAAGCAATATGGCCTGTCTGCTTACACAATATGACACACGATAAAAACCTAATGACCTGACATCAGACAGGAATAATGAGTCTCTGCAGACCTTTGCTCGATGGTGACTTCCTCATGGGAGAGCACACAAAGATTACAATGATTATAAATTGTAGCGATTTAATGCTACAAAACACATTTTGCTCTATTGTTCCCGATTTAAATATTGTTTTGCCCCGGGGGTACAGCAGATTATGCTAAAGTAATTGTTTGAAGTCTGATACCAACACGAAAAAGGATTAGAGAGACAAATGTACCGGATTTTAGCCAGCTTGAACTCAGTTAACAGTTTATTTTCTGAGCTAATAAAATGTTACATCTTCCCATATGAAATGTTGCCAAATGCAATATTCCTCTTCAAACTGGATTAGTAACCAAATACTTAAACTTCAATTCAAGAAAACTCAAAGTGTTGGTAAATTCAGTGACTATTTGCACCTGTATCTACAATTAGCACTGCTAATACAACTGATTGTTGTTAGCTTCTGTCATTAGTTTAACCCTTTGTCTCCCATTTAATCAGAGAGATATAAGAGTCTGTCAAAAATAATATTGCAGGTAATTGGTTTTAGAAAAGTAATATACCTCATTTCTACTTAGTGACTGCGCTTCCTGTCTATCAATTTGAGCAGCTAATTACTCATTCATTAAAAACAAATGAAAATGGTAAAGAAAAACACTGCATGACCTTAGCTCTTAATAAATCATGAGGACATGTCATTCAAGAAGACAGTATTTTGCACATACAGAGGAACAACATGTGTCACTGCATGTTTACTACTGCTTACATCAGGCTCAGTAAATCATTATCATGTAGCGGGCTAAAGTCCCCTTGTGACTCAGCAAACAAGCCGTAAAACGTTTGAAATTTCACATGAAGTGAACTATAGACAGAATAGCATTTAAGAACAAATCCTTCATTTCCTTCTCAGCTTTTCTTATTTGATTTTGAACAGCTGTCAGCCTGGAGATGAGTTTATGAAATGGTCTGAAATAAGATAAGCACTTTTCAAAGCTCTCCATTTGATCCGTTACAGACAGACAGGCAGGCAGAGAGGAATGGAAGGAGACACACAGCGAGCCTCAGGAGTCCAGAGCGAGCTAAACAACAACAACAGGAAGCTAACATAACATGTGTCCTGCTGTAGAAAACAGAAACAACCTACCTCTGAGCTGTTAGCTCCTCACCCATCAGAACATCTCAGGGCCTGAAGACGAGCAGTTAAACACACACATCTCCTTCTCTTTCTCTCACACACTCCCTGCCTCTATCCTCTTTCACCTGGAGTCATAAAGTATGCAAACGACCTGCGTGTCGTGGTGACTGTAGCCACAGTGACGCGGCAGCAGGTAGCACACTGGTGGAGGAGATGCTCCCTGAAGCTTCGCCCTGCAGGACACACTTCCAGTCTGACTCTTGGAGCGTCGGCCTACATCACTTTACATGTTTCTGTATTCATGCTTCGCGCACAATTGTCCTGTGGGTTCTGTCGCCGTGAACTTTGAAATGTAGTCACCTGTTGTCTCAGCTTAAATTAATCATGAGCTAATTAGACTTAAAGCACATTATTTTTCTTAGTTAGTGAAGTGTCAGTTAAAGAGGTCAGAGCCAAAATGGGATGTCAATTTATTCACTGAAAGACATATTTGCAACATTCTTCCACAATTCTAATAAAAATGAAAATATTTTTGATAGCCAGCTAATCTTAAAAGTACTTGTTGTGCCTGGATGCCTACATCATATTAAAGACATTTAAAGGTCTTTGAGAAACTGGGATAGACGTTTTTTACAATATTCTGACATTTTATTTACCAAGCTGTTAAAAGGAGCCCTAATTTAATGCCAATGTTCATATTGAGATTCAGATTCAACTTTATTGTCATTACATAGGACAAGTGCTAGTGACAATGTTCAGGTTCATATTAGCATTTTGTTCTTCTGCTGTGACATGTTTCCATGCTTTAATGTTCAAAAAGGCTCAGGTTGTGCTGGAGCACCTCTTTTCACCCTCTGTCTGAAACCAGAGCCCAGTCTGCTCTGATTGGTTAGCTGGCCGGCTCTGTTGGGATTGGTGAACTGCTGAGAGATGTCCCTCCCCTTAGCCTACAGTATCACGTGAAAAGTGTTGGAGCGCTAGCCAATACAAGCGCAAGTGTTAAATATTCATGTCACTTTAACTTTGAGTACAATGGAGGTTTTTCAGGGGGAGGGGGAGAAACTCCCTCTGGAGGGAACTTTGGCCCCTGCAGACCATTAACATACACAAAAACCCTATAGAAAGCTACAGGGAGGAGAGCACCACATACAGAAGAATGTTTGATGTTTTATACAAAAAGCTGTTAATGAATTTACAAAATTGAAAGTAGATGAATTGATAATAGCAACATGTTTGGAATCAGCAACACTCTAAAACTGTTGTGGATGATGTTGATGATGAACTGAATGTGTTACATGTGGGGCAGCTAATGCAGGGACTGTATTGTTTTATAGCGACTATATAATTTGGTAACAAGGGGGCAAAGAGTTTATTATTCTAGGTAATAAAGAATAATACCAACGCGGCACTGGGAGGACATTATTATGTAGATGAGATCGATGTTTGAACAGGGAATACACAGGGAAGCCTCACACTGGATTATACTGGATTCTGGAAATATGTCACATATTTATCTCTCAGACCAAAGGGAAAGGAGGGCTAACAATTGCAATTCAATATATAAGCTTCCTGTAATTAATGTTAAGTAAGCATTGAATAAACATATTGTGTTAATGCTTAGTAAGCTAATAATATTTGATTTAATCTCAAAACAGAATTATTTTATGTTTAGAGGGCATTTCTATTCATTGTCATCTAGCCTTGTTGTCAGTGTTTTGATGAAAAAAAACCTTTATCATGTCAACTGTTCATTTCAATGGAAATTAAAAACAGTTTGGACAGTTACTGAATTATTAGAGATTAGAGATTGTAACACTAGCCAGATGATTAAATAATTAACATAACAATAAAGTTTAGTCTGCCAATGAAGAACTGGGAGTATTTGTCTCCACTCTCCATGTTCTTACAAACTTGCCAAAACCTTTCTGACTGAGGCTTGTTCATGAAATGCAGGTCCACAGTCAATTATTCACAAACACACACTCTTACACACTGGTGGGGCCCAGTTGAAGCCTCCACTGCCCAGAAGTAATTGCTCAGATTAATGAAGTGCTGCAGAGAAGGTGCCAGCGAGCCAGAGCACCTGCTGCGTTCCCCTGGTCACTCAACCTGTGTCAGTCTAACACACTAATGAAAAAACAAAGGCAAATTCGCAACAGAAATACCTGGTGATTTGTTTCTGTGCATAACCAAGGAACAAATGGGATAGGAGCATAATCTGAACCATGAAAAAACCAACAGAGGGACACAAACTGAAGAGCTGTACTGTGGAGTAAAGTAACGTAAAACCAAGTAAAGTTAATTAAAGTAATATAACATAAAGTAGCGTAAATTAGATAAAGTTACGCAATGTAATTTAAAGAACATAAAGTTAGGTAAAATAAAGTGAAGTAGAGTAACATTATGTAATTTAATTTACGGAATATTTAAGTAGGATAAAGTAAAGTAACCCAAATATAACTAAAGATGAGTTAAGTAGCACAAAGTCATATAAAGTAACGTAGAGAACGAGAGGCACCACCACATGATGTAACTGAAAGATAAGTAAATATGAGTAAAGTCATATAAAGTAACGTAGAGAACGAGAGGCACCACCACATGATGTAACTGAAAGATAAGTAAATATGAGTAAAGTAACGTAAAGTAACGTAGAGAACGAGAGGCACCACCACGCGATGTAACCGAAAGATAAGTAAATATGAGTAAAGTAATGTAAAGTAACGTAGAGAACGAGAGGCACCACAACATGATGTAACTGAAAGATAAGTAAATATGAGTAAAGTCATATAAAGTAACGTAGAGAACGAGAGGTACCACCACGTGATGTAACTGAAAGATAAGTAAATATGAGTAAAGTAATGTAAAGTAACGTAGAGAACGAGAGGCACCACCACGTGATGTAACCGAAAGATAAGTAAATATGAGTAAAGTAATGTAAAGTAACGTAGAGAACGAGAGGTACCACCACATGATGTAACTGAAAGATAAGTAAATATGAGTAAAGTAATGTAAAGTAACGTAGAGAACGAGAGGTACCACCACATGATGTAACCGAAAGATAAGTAAATATGAGTAAAGTAATGTAAAGTAACGTAGAGAACGAGAGGTACCACCACGCGATGTAACCGAAAGATAAGTAAATATGAGTAAAGTAATGTAAAGTAACGTAGAGAACGAGAGGCACAACCACATGATGTAACCGAAAGATAAGTAAATATGAGTAAAGTAACGTAGAGAACGAGAGGCACCACCACATGATGTAACTGAAAGATAAGTAAATATGAGTAAAGTAACGTAAAGTAACGTAGAGAACGAGAGGCACCACCACATGATGTAACCGAAAGATAAGTAAATAGTAAAGTAACGTAAAGTAACGTAGAGAACGAGAGGCACCACCACATGATGTAACCAAAAGATAAGTAAATAGTAAAGTAACGTAAAGTAACGTAGAGAACGAGAGGCACCACCACATGATGTAACTGAAAGATAAGTAAATATGAGTAAAGTAACGTAAAGTAACATAGAGAACGAGAGGCACCACCACATGATGTAACCGAAAGATAAGTAAATAGTAAAGTCATATAAAGTAACGTAGAGAACGAGAGGCACCACCACATGATGTAACCGAAAGATAATTAAATATGAGTAAAGTAATGTAAAGTAACGTAGAGAACGAGAGGCACCACCACATGATGTAACCGAAAGATAATTAAATATGAGTAAAGTAATGTAAAGTAACGTAGAGAACGAGAGGCACCACCACATGATGTAACCGAAAGATAATTAAATATGAGTAAAGTAATGTAAAGTAACGTAGAGAACGAGAGGCACCCCCACATGATGTAACTGAAAGATAAGTAAATAGTAAAGTAATGTAAAGTAACGTAGAGAACGAGAGGCACCACCACATGATGTAACCGAAAGATAAGTAAATATGAGTAACGTAAAGTAACGTAGAGAACGAGAGGCACCACCACATGATGTAACTGAAAGATAAGTAAATATGAGTAATGTAAAGTAACGTAGAGAACGAGAGGCATCACCACATGATGTAACCGAAAGATAAGTAAATATGAGTAAAGTCATGTAAAGTAACGTAGAGAACGAGAGGCACCACCACATGATGTAACCGAAAGATAAGTAAATATGAGTAAAGTAACGTAAAGTAACGTAGAGAACGAGAGGCACCACCACATGATGTAACCGAAAGATAAGTAAATATGAGTAAAGTAACGTAAAGTAACGTAGAGAACGAGAGGCACCACCATGTGATGTAACCGAAAGATAAGTAAATAGTAAAGTAACGTAAAGTAACGTAGAGAACGAGAGGCACCACCACATGATGTAACCGAAAGATAAGTAAATATGAGTAAAGTAACGTAAAGTAACGTAGAGAACGAGAGGCACCACCACATGATGTAACCGAAAGATAAGTAAATAGTAAAGTAACGTAAAGTAACGTAGAGAACGAGAGGCACCACCACCTGATGTAACTGAAAGATAAGTAAATATGAGTAAAGTAACGTAAAGTAACATAGAGAACGAGAGGTACCACCACGTGATGTAACCGAAAGATAAGTAAATATGAGTAAAGTAATGTAAAGTAACGTAGAGAACGAGAGGCACCACCACATGATGTAACCGAAAGATAAGTAAATATGAGTAAAGTAACGTAAAGTAACATAGAGAACGAGAGGTACCACCACATGATGTAACTGAAAGATAAGTAAATATCAGTAAAGTAACGTAAAGTAACGGAGAGAAGGAGAGGCACCACCACATGATGTAACCGAAAGATAAGTAAATAGTAAAGTAACGTAAAGTAACGTAGAGAACGAGAGGCACCACCACATGATGTAACTGAAAGATAAGTAAATATGAGTAAAGTAACGTAAAGTAACATAGAGAACGAGAGGTACCACCACATGATGTAACTGAAAGATAAGTAAATATGAGTAAAGTAACGTAAAGTAACGGAGAGAAGGAGAGGCACCACCACATGATGTAACTGAAAGATAAGTAAATATGAGTAAAGTAAAGTAACGTAGAGAACGAGAGGCACCACCACATGATGTAACCGAAAGATAAGTAAATAGTAAAGTAATGTAAAGTAAC